GCTGTAATACAGCCCACAGACTGGGTAATTTGCAAAGAAGGTAAATTTATTTCTTACAGTTGTGGAATCAATGAAGATCAAGGTCGAGGTGCCAAATTTGATGAAGGCCTTTGTCATCAGACGGCCAGACTGTCACAAGAGGAAAGAGTAATCATGCTAGCTCAGGGCTCTTCTCATCTTCACACAAGTAATACCGTAATGGAAAATCCACCCTCATGAATTCATCTAACCCCGATTTCCTCTAGAAGCCCCCGCCTCCAGATTCTATTAACACACAAGGTTGTGTATTAAATTTCTGATCCATTTTGCAGGAACACATACAGATGACAGCACCGAGGTACAAATGGTTGGTAATAGTGGCTGAAATATTTGATGAGTCTGCTCCTACTGGCCACTTGGTGTCACCAAGCCATAAGTTAGAGAAACTCATGGGAAACACATGTTAGCTGAGTATGAAATATTCTAAATATTCTTGAATGATTTTGATACTAATTGTATAAAGCTGTAACTATTATTTGGAAGTGCTGTTTTTTTTGCATTAAATTCTTTAAGCAACGGCCAATGCTATGCCGATCCGAAGCCAGGATCCAGGAATTTCTTCCAGGTATCCCACACCGGTGCAGGGTCCCAAAACATTGGGCCATCCTCAACTGCTTTCTCAGGCCACAAGCAGGGAGCTGGATGGAAAGTGGAGCTGCCGGGATTAGAACTGGCGCCCATATGGGATCCTGGTGCGTTCAAGGCGAGGACTTTAGCCGCTAGGCCACTGCGCTGGGCCCCTTCAATGGGCTTTTAACAAGACGTGACCGTATATGCTTCCTGTTCCCAGTTGCTACAGAATTCTGATGCTCAGTGCTAGTGACAGTGTCAGATACAGTACGAACAAATATGAGGTGAATGTCATTTATATTTCCCCAAACCATTGTGCATTCAAGAATCTGAAGCAACTCCCTATAGCTATTAAACATAGGGGGCTTCCTGAGAACAGTAAAACTTACAAATCACATTATACAATGATGAGCATATTTTTTGTTTTCCCACTCTTACCTGATTATATAATTTCAGCAAGCTTACAAATGGATCTGCTTTTTATTTTTATAACATGGCTTCTAATATTCTGAAGCGAGTACTCAAATTAATAGCATTGCAAATCATGGCAATTGTTTGGACTTTGTATTATTTTATTTATTTTTTTATTTTTTACTTTGTAGTATTTTAATATAGTAGCATTCAGGTAGGCTTCTGAATATAAACTAGCATAGCATAATTGGCATTGCTTGAACAGGCTTATTGTGTTCCAGGTACTATTCTCATTGCTTTACAGTTAGAATTCATTTTATCTGTATACCCTCTCTATGAAATATGGATTTTACACATGAAGAAAGTGAGAAAGAGGTTAAGTAACTTTCAAGATCTCATAACTAAGATAGCATTACAAGTAGATGGGCTTATGCTAAAGCCCATTTTCTTCTTCACTACCTTATGATACTTCCTTTGGAATACAGAAGATATTACAAGTTATAATTTAGAAGCATGATAAAAACATCACAGTGGTGCCAAATTTTACTTAGAAGGTATTTTGATGCAAGTAGAAATAAAAATGTGGTTCACACAGTACTGACAAGGATATACTACTATTTTACTGGTTTAAATAGCATCACGTTGTCTGAGGAGCATGGTAGGACATGGTAATAAACTTGAATTTCATCTCATAAGTAATAAAACATAGTGTATGAGTTTTAAACAGAGGAGAACAAAATCACATTTTTTCATCCTTTTTTTTCCATTATGCGGTTTGCAGGTCTAGGGCTTCCTCCCTCTGCATTCACCCCTCCCTTTCCCTGGATTCTTCAACAATGCGATCCTTCAGCTGTAGCCATGACTCCAGCTTTCTGCTCTTTACACACATTTGTAAAGATATCTTAGCATTGAGGGAAGAGATGTATTGATTGCTGGAGACCAGGACAGAGGACACCCATTAGGAGAATACTTCCTGGTAAGAGCTGAGTGCTGTTATGGCAGTGGCACTGGAAAGGGAAAGAGTATGGAGAGGCTTGGGAGACAAAACTGTCAGAATTTTCCCAGCTTCTGACTCACTGATGAGAGAGATGAGGGGAAAGAGAGAGTTTAAGTTTACTCTCAGGTTTTTATCTTGTGGTAAAACTTTTAGCCTATAGGGACTACTAAAAATATGGGAAACAACTGATTTTAAGTTTTATGTGGATTTAGTATTCTAGGCATAGAGCTTGTGTTTTAAAATACAGAAATGACTGCCCATTTCACTCAAACAAAACCCAAGATCAGCGTGTAGCTTACAATTACAAAATCCTTATATCACAGTACCTGGTCTTCATTCCTGGCTCCAGCTGCTAATCTGGCTTCCTGCCAATACAAGCCTAAGAGGCAACAGTGAGAGCTTAAGGAACTGAGTTCCTGCTCCCCACATGGGAGACCCAGACTTGATTCTCACTTGCTGGCTTCAGCTTTGTCCAACCCATTGTGGGTATTTGGGAGTAAGCTATCCTGTAGTGGTTATTCATGAATTCATTCTTTCTTTCTCTCTCCACCCTGTTTCTCCTTCCCTCTCTCCCTCTCCTTCATAATGAATTTTTTAAAAACCACAGTCCTTACAGTAACTGCACAGTGTGACAGACTCTTCATTTCCCTCTTTGCCACCGTGTCCTCCTTTTTCCTGTCCCTCGTGCTGCTGATTGGCTTGCTGTGTCTTGAACATGTCAGTCATGCTGCCACCTTCCGACCTTTGTAGTAATTTCTCCTTTGTGTATAAGACTTCCTTCAGATGTCCATATGGCTCAGATGTCGCCTTCTCAGTAAGGCCTAAACTGATCTCCACACTTTCAATTGCAGTCCTCAGTCCCCTTTTTACCACCAGCTATCTCAGTGTTCAGAATCCTCATTACTTGTTCTTTTTTTTCTTATGTCATTGCTTTTGTCATCTTCAAACAAATTGTATGATTTACTTGAACATGGTTTACCTGTCATGTTGCTATTTTCTTGTGCCAATATGAACTATATAAGAGCAGGAGTATTTATCCATTTTTCCATTATTGATACCTCCAAAATGTGTAGAACCATATTTGGCATGTTGTAGTCAGTGAGTAGTAAGTTAGTAACAGTAAAATAAAGCAAAACAACAACAAAATTGTGAAGAAACCAAAAGTTGGTGGCAGAATGAACCAATTTGTGGTTATTTATATGAAGGAACAATAGGAAGTGAAGAAACTACAACTGTATGAAACTACATGGATTGGGCCTGGCGTGAAAGCCTAGCAGCTAAAGTCCTCACCTTGAACGCACCAGAATACCACATGGGCACCGGTTCTAATCCTGGCAGCCTGCTTCCCATCCAACTCCCTCCTTGTGGCCTGGCAAAGAGTTGGATGCAGTTCTGGGCTCCTGCCTTCACCTGGGGCCAGCCTAGGCTATTGTGAAGATTGAGCTGTCTCCAGTCTGCCTTTCAAATAAAAACAAACAAAAAAGAATAAGAAGTGGAGGAAGCACGTGTGTAGCCTAGTGGTTGCAATGCCCCGTCCCACACCAGAGTACCGTGGGTCAGTCTCAACCTCCGGCTCCTGCCTGCAGCTTTCTGCCGTGCCAGCGCTGGGAGCTGGTTCCTGCATCCATGTGGGAGACCAGATGGAGTTCCCGCCTCCCAAATTTGTGTATCTCAACTAATTTAAAATTTTTAAATATATTTCAATAAATAGATTTAGTGACCAAGAGTAGAAATGGAAATGTCTTTTATTTAGTAAAGGGACAATGCTTCTAGACATAGAAGAAGGAAAAGGGAGATCACTCTGAGAAAAAAATAATGTTGTAAAATACAGCTAGAGATTTGGTGGTAAAACATTAAGGTATAAGGTTTCAGAGATGAAATCCTGGAGTTCTCTGTAGTAGGTTTCAGGAAATGTTTTTCAACATGTTGATAAATACAAAATGAAAAAAGGGTTCAAAAGGTTTTAAGCCTAGGCTCTGGATATGAAAGTCACTGGCTGTTGGATAACAGTTGGGATATAGAAAACGGCTGAACAGTAATCAAGAACTAGGGTGGCCATTGTGGCACAGTGCGTTAAGCCACCGCATGGGAGGCTCGTGGCCCATATCAAACCACAAGGTATTAAGTCCTGCCTCTGCTTCCCATTGTGCTTGATGCTAATGTGCCCAGGAAGCATCAGATAATGGGTCACGTACTTGGGTCCCACACACCCACATGAAAGACCCAGTGAATTTACACTGTTCCAGCCCAGGCTATGGCAGGTTTTTGAGGAAAAAAATACACGGTTCTTCCTTCTTTCTCTGTTGCTCTGCCTTTCAAAGAAATAAATACATTTTTTTACTGAGTGGCAGAACAGGTGAAGCTGCTACTGGAAGCATCTATATCCCATGCTGGAGTGCCTAATTAGTCCAGGCTGCTCCATTTCTGATCAGACTTCCTTTTCAGTAGACTGCGAAAGTGACCAGTAATCCCAACACCTGAGTTTCTGCCATTCACATGAGACCCTTGTGGAGTTCATAGCTCATAGCTTTATCATGACCCATGCCTGGCTGTGGTGAATGTTTAGAAAGTAAACCACAAATGGAAGGTCTCTCTCTCTCTCTCTGGCACTCTACCTTCCAAATAAATAATTTTTTTTTTTTCAGAAAATTGAGGGGCAATTGATCATTGTGACAGCAGTGAAAAGGGGAAGTGGTATGCACATAAACACCTTAATCTCAAGGAAGAAAAAAAACTGACAAAAGGCATGGGGGTGTGGGAAGCAGCCTCGGGGATTCTGAAGACTGCTGACTGCCGCACAAGAGACCGAGAAACCCCAGCCCTCCAAGGACAGTGGAAGAAGGGATCCCAAGGAGCGGCCAGGTTTCTTCTAAAGGCAGCACAGGAACAGATGTTTTGTTTAAAAAAAAAAAAAAGCAGGGAGAGGGGTTGACAATGTGCAATTTATAATTCAGCAAATGCGATAGTGGGCACAAGGGAAAGGATTGAGGAGCTCATCAGTTTAAGAAATGGAAACACAGCTGTGTGTGGATGGGAGCCAGAGTGAGAAATCAGGCTGCAGGGGCTTGCTCTCTGTTTAGGGATGGAAGATCAGAGGCATGTTGGCTTTGCAGATACAATGAGTCAAACAGTTACCAGCAGGTTCTGAGGAGACCAGGAAACTTTCATCTGCTCTTCTGGCAGACCTGCATTTTAATGGGGATTTAGAAGTTAATTGCTATGCATTCCCCCATTTGTAAGAGTAGTCCGGTATGTTCTTACCTCCTCTGGAGGGTCTGGCATGTATTTGTTGAGACCAATTGCTCCAGGTTATCCGTTGCCAGATTTTCTGCACCTTTTAGGGAGGGAAGATCTTTGAGATGATTCACGCATTTTAAAAAGTGCAGCCTTGTCTTTGGATCATCCTGCATTTGCCTTGCTGTGTGCTCACGGTGTGTTAACTGGACTGCTCTCACTCCCACTTCCTTACCCGTAATTTACCCCATTGCACTGTGAGGCAAGTGAGTTACTACAAGTAAACACTTTCCAATTGCTGCTTGGTACATACGTCATACTACAAAAGTACTGTTCTAAAAAATATATGGTGATCATACTTTTACTTCAAACAACTGTCATTTATTGTTTGTGTACTTGGAGCTTTAAATTTTGCCTATGTGTTTATATTTACTGTTAGTCAATTTCCTCTGAACTTAATTAGCACCATAAAGTAACAAAACACTCCCTAAAGAATCTCCCTTCCCCCTCCCAATCTCTGCTTCTTGGAGAGAGCTTCATTGCACACCACAGCCTGCCACATGCATCAGTGAGAGGGCCATCCACTAAGCAGCATTATTAATACCTCCAGTTAAACCTTTTTTTTTCTTTTACTGTGAGAAAGGGAAGTAAAATCAGTAATAAAAGTAATAGCCTTTATTAGTGTGAGAAGCAAACACCAGCATGAAACCTAAATCCCTCCGTGGAGAAACGTCTGCCTATCCTGTTATCTATACTCAATTCTGTGTGTACTGTGGCCTTTTCTTACATATCGGCTATGAAGAATTGAGTTATGTGATGGCGTTTCAGACTGATCTCTTAAAATTGATAAATCGTATCGTTTTTCCAAACGAAAGTAGCAACTGGCAGCAGGATGGCTGAATTAAGTGTTAAATAGGAAGATAGTACCTGTGGTAATAATTAGAGAAAGTGAACACAAAGAAACATTTTACATCAGATGTACATTTCTGTAGGAGAACATTTGGCGAGCTTTCGAACTGGTTCAGAATAAAGTCTGAAAAGTGGTGACGTTCAGAGCGGCAACAGTAGAAATCACTGAATCACTTTGTGTGTCAGTCGCACTGCCAGCACGGATGGCTGCTTCCCTCCCCACCCCCTCTCTTTCCGCGGTTCACTGCAGGTCACATGATAGCTATCACATGACTCGGTCAAAGGATCTTTTCCTCTTACAGCTTTGCAAAAAAAAAAAAAAAGGGCGAAACCGTTCTCCAATTAAAGCTGCTAACGTGTACTACGCTGTTTCCTTGTTGGGTTTTCTTGTTTTCTGCTGCTACTGTAAAAACAAAATGAGTGGTAAGATTTGGTGACTGTTTTTCAATATTTTACCTTTACTTTAAAGCATAGAAATCTTTGTACTAATCTGAAATCATGCTGTGTGTGGTTTTTAAAGTAGGTGCCAAATGTAATCGCGCTTTAAAATATTTTAAATTGTTGCCTTGTCGTTATAAAGAGATTAGGCTCTTTGTAAAGTTAGGCTAATTTTCTGTTCCATCGCGGCCTTTATTTTACTTGCTTTTTCTTTTTAAAACTAAAATCTGAAGATTTGCATCGTATTCTTTGGAAGCCATTGTGAAAGCTTGCTTATGAAGAGAAGGTGTAGCACGTCAGCAGCCTGTTGTTTTAAGAATTTAAAATAAAATTTGTCATTTAAAAAAAAAAACTCTAAAATCTAAATGCATATTGGCAAAAAAAATGAAGAATGTAACTTACCCAAATCCTGGCTAGAATATTATTAAGCCATGTAATGGGGCTTTTAAAGAATTGGTGTGAGGAGCTTCTCAAATTTCTTCAGACAGGTGGTGAATAGGATTGTTTCCTCTACTGTGGGTTTTTGGAAAAGAAAATATGTCCTTAAAAGTAATGAATGGCTCCGTAATTTGGGGTAGATTTATCTCGAAGCATAGAGATTCTAAAGAAACTGCTAGGTGATCCACGGTTGTTCACCTATAGCTACTTTTGTTCCAGGTGTGTTTTAATGAAACTGTCTGCAACAGATTTAATCTTCTTTGGGACAGAATTTGTCTCACTGCATACATGTGTCAGTTTGTAGTTAATATTTTAGAACTCACTAAATCAGATGTGTTTTTTGAAGTAAGAAAACAAAACCAAATGTGTACATCTTTGCATAGCTTTAGGGTTTGTTATTGGAGACACAAATGACAACAGAAATGTGCTAAAAAAATCATAGTTCTAAACACTGATATTTGTATTTACTCTGTTTGCAAGTAGAGATTTTATGTGTATAAAGTATAAGTATTTTAGTAGGAGTTAGATTACCAGTGAGTTATTAAAAAAAAATTTAACTATATACCACCTGTTCTGTCTCAGGATAAGAAAATTTAGTCTGCTTGCTGAAATAAAATATTTACTTTGGAGAAAAGGGAGTTAATCATTATTATTCCTGGACTGCAAATAGTAATATAGTTGCTGCTGATTTATTTTATGTTAGGTTTGTTTTGTGCTCTTTATCATACTTAAGTGCAATTAAAGTATTAAGTAGAAGTTTGTACTGCTAAGTTAATAAACTTTCAGCAGCTGTAAAAGTATGAAGTGACCTAGACTGTAACCACAGGTATTTATATCATCATAATTCTGCTAAACAGAGGGCAGTCCAAAAAATTACATATTTATACAATTTTAAATATGATGAATAACTCCCTACTTTGATAAGTAAACAACAGTACCTGTTCTAATGACTTGCTAGAGAGGTGAAATTTGGTATGTGCAAGGATTCATAGTACTTGGCCCATATGGTAAAAACTCAATGAACGTTAGCTTCTTTTATTACAGTTATAAATATGATTTTCCTTATTTTATTTCTGGTTCTCAGCTAAATATCACATGAGTATTTAAACCACCTCTTAGGATTCAGAAAGCTAGTTCACAATAATTTTGTATGAATTCATAATGAAAGTAAGTCAGCATTACTTATTTAAAACTGTCATTTCTCTTAAGCCCAGAACATAGAATTTTGGAATGAAATAATTGTGTCCAGAGATAATAAATAAATAAACTTACAAGTGTTACTTGGTAATTCTGTATGTAATATTTGCCTTTAAACTTAAGGAGATGTCTGTTCTTCCTTTGATGCTTTTCAAGGAAATATACACAATAAAGACCTTCATTTTCTTTAGGGCAGTGGGAAACCTTTTTTCTGCCTAGTACCATTTGAGTATATATAGCATCATCTGCAAGGCATACAAAATTAGTAGCATTCAAATTAGCCTGCTATAGATTTATTGAATTTCAAGTTCCCATCTGCAGTTACCTTGGCAAGGCCAGAACAAATGCTTTTGTGGGCCTTTAAATAGCCTGTGGACTGGACATTCCCCTCCTTGTCTTAAATGCACTACAGCATACATCTTAATTCTAAAATTACGTAAGTTACCAATATTGTATAGTATTTTTACTGTTTATTAACTATGCTAAAATGATGTTAAAAATGAAATTGCCCGTGACCAATATTGCAATTTACTAAGCTGCCACATGTGGCATTAGCATTCCCATGTAAATGCCAGTTCATGTCCTCGCTATTCCACTTCAATACGGTTCCCTACTTAATGTTCCTAGGAAAGCAGCAGAATGTGGCCCAAGTACTTAGGCGCCTGCACCCTCCTGGGAAACTAGGATGAGTCCCAGCTCCTGGTTTCATTTAGAAAATGAATCAACATATGGAAAATTTGTCTCACCTTCTCTCTTTGTAACTCTGCTCTTTCATGAAATAAATTAATAAACCTTTAAAAGAAAGAAGCTGCCTGATTTTGAATCCCAATTCTACCACTTGGGCAAACTTAATCCATGTGTGCCTTAATTTCAATATTTGGGAAATGCAAATGTTGATATTTACATGACTGGTTCTAAGGAGAAAAATATATATATAAAAGATCTGTCACATATATTAGTGTTATCTGTGCATAATTAATTAAAATAAAATATTTCATGAGTTTAGTGGGCATGTTTTGAATGGGAACAGTATTTTGTAGGAATGTTCTTCTCATAACCAGATGTAATACAGTGTAATAGTCTGCACTGATAATATTGAAAGGCAGAGTGAAATTTTGCAAATGAAAGAGGTCATTCCCTATTTACTCTTTATCAGATTCCTGTGCTTTATTTTCTTACAAATAATAAATTATTTGAAAATATTTTCTTGCAAGTTGTCGAAAACTGATGGGTGAAGGGACAGGTAAGTCTAAAAATACAGAAAGGATTTGAAGCTCAGAGTGCTGCTAAAGTTACATAATGCAACTAAGAGTTTAGGTCCTAGAAGAATGAAGCACACCTTCAAAAATGTATATTTTATTCTCAGAAAACTTAGAAGGGAAACAGGCAGTAGTGTTTTTAAAATTTATTTGGAAAGCATAACATTATTAAAGTGAAAGAAAATACAGGAAAAGAGAAGCCAAATTTTTTTTTAGATTTACTTGTTTTTATTGGAATTGCAGATCAGATTTACTAAGAAAACGATCTTCCATCTACTGATTCAGTCCCCAAATGGCTGCAATAGCCAGAACTGAGCCAATCCAAAACCAGGGGACCTGGCACAGTGGCCTAGCAGATAAAGTACTCACTTTGCGCACAGCAAAGTGGTTCTAATCCTGGCAGCCCCGCTTCACATCCAGCTCCCTGCCTGTGGCCTGGGGAGGGTGTCGAGTACAGCCCAAAGGCTTGGGACCCTGCACCCGCATGGGAGACATGGAAGAGTCTCAGGGCTCCTGGCTTTGGATCGGCAGAGCTCTAGCCATTGCAGCCTCTTGGGGTGTGAATCAGTGGACGGAAGATGATCTTCTCTGTCTCTCCTTCTATCTGTATATCTGCTTTTCCAATAAAAATTAATTAATTAAAAAAACAGGAGCCAGGAGCCTCCTCTGGGTCTCTATTTCTGTGAATACCAAATAAGAATCTCTGGGCTAGTCTATAAATTGTATTTAAAAGCTTCTCACATAGCAGTTACTTCAATTGGCAAGCATAAAAAATACAAGTGTAGATAAATGATAATCAGTGTGCTTTACAAGATGCCTTTTTTCTAATAAGTGAATTCTCTGAATTTCTTTTCAATGTAGTATACACTGACTGTTAGGTTAAGTGTGTAGATTAAGTATTCAAAGTGTGATTGAAGTGATTTTCAACTTTAGCTCACTAAGCAACCGTGGATTAATGCATCTTTTTTTGTGACCAATTCAGGTCCAGCTCAGGTTCCAATGATGTCCCCAAATGGTTCTGTGCCTCCTATTTATGTGCCTCCTGGATATGCCCCACAGGTATGTTTCTCTCTCGCTCGCTCTCTTTCTTTCTCCCCCCTCCTTTTCAAATTCATAAAAGTAAACTTATTAAATATATCTGTGGATAAATTATGTAATGTGTTTCTTGGCAAGATTTTTTAAAAATAAAATTGGTTACATGTTAAAATAAGTCTCATTAAGAAGGTGATATTTGAATTAGATCTTAAAGAACAAGAGGGTGTTTACATTTATCTGAGGAAAAGGGAATCTGGGAACAGAAACAGCCGGTGCAAGTGTTGTTAAGAAGAGAGCATGCGTGGGAACAGCAAGGAGAGCAGTGCAGCTGGACTGAGTTCAAGCTGAATACTGGTGGGCAATGAGAGCGGAGATGTAACAGGATTCAAGTGTGTAGAACTCTTACTCATCTCCGTATGCTCAATGCTGCCTTCAGTGCCTGGCATAAATAATGGCCCAATGGAAGTTTATAAACAAGATGGTTATCCAAGTGAAATTTATGTATCTTTAGGCCAAGAACCACTAGGGTAACTTTTCCGCAGCACCACTTTGGTGTTTTCATGTTTTAGGTAATCATTAACCTGTAGTTGGCTCATGTGCTCAGTAAAGGCCAAATTTCTTCACATTCAAGGTGTTACACAGTTTTGTCCTAGTTTATGTTTTCTTTGTTGGTCTCTTGATCCTCTCAGCATGTACCCATTTTTGTCTGACTTCCTACATGTTCACTTGGTGTTTGCCTTTTGCCATGGGTCTGCTTATGTAGGTATTTAGAGAGCAGTACTTGTTCTCTTACTTCTGCCTCTTGAAATTGTCCATTTTTTTAGGTTGTAGATCATTATTTGTGTGCTTCTTGGTTATAATACCTACTGCCTACCACAATTTTATATGATGTGTTTCTTACAGGTGATTTTCAGTTCCTTGAGGCTGGGAGCTACCTTTTACTTTTTATAGGTGTTCCAAACTCTTTGTCAAATAAATAAGGTACTTTGACAGTAATCATACTGGAAGGATTAAGTGAGGCTAGTGGGTCACTATAATCAGTCTTAACTTAAAATCATCTGTAGAAGTGTAGCGAATTCAAGCATATGAGGTAATCCAGATAAAAGTCTAGTCTCATCATTATTGAAAGAATTTAACTACTCAGTATGTACAATTGTATTCTTATGTTTTCATATCACTACTGAAACACCCCCATTGTGCAACAACACAATTTTTAATATAGAAAATACTTGTCATTAATAACCGGGTTCAAGACCCAACAAATCACTTGACACCTTGCTCAATAATTGACATATAAAGAAGCACAATGTTTGCAAAAATGAGTTGAAACAAGTATTGATACAGATGACTATAACAAAGTACAGATTATACTTGACTTAGCAGAAGCCAAGTAACACACACTTGAATAACTTCCATCTAGCCTTCCTGTACACTTTCATATGAAAGTCTCTAATTGTTGCAGCAACAAGTTTTAGTAACTCCATCACTTACTTAGGAGTGTCTTTCACCTAAGACCAGCCAGGAAGGGTGAAGTAACGTTTTTGTTAATATAATCATGTTTCTCATCATTCAGAACACGTGAATAGAATTCAGCAAATTTATGTATCCTAAAAGTTTCATCAGAAAAACAAAAACTCCAAAATTAAAATTCATGTTGGGACCACTTAGCTCCATTACTGTGAAAATAACCACACATATTTGGACAAAAGAGTGAGAAGTTGAAAAGATCTTATAATTGAGTTCAAGAGGTGACAAAGTGTTTATAAGAAAAATGCATGGAAGATTTTATGCCAAATTTGTGATACTTGAACCATTTTTGTGTCCTTATTTAGTTTAGTTGCACTTTAATAAGAACTCATAAGTATATATTATATCTTTTTGTTTTATATGTATATTTTTTCCCACTTTTTATTTGAAAGGCAAAGGGGCAGGGATGGCCTTCCACAGTTCACTCTCAAAGTCCCCATAGCAGCGAGGGCTAGGCCAGGCTAAAGCCAGGGACCAAAAAGCCGGTCTGGGTCTGCTGCGTAGGTGACAGGAACCTAAGTACCTGAGCCAGTACCTGCTGCTTTCCACCCTCAGGAGGGGGCGAGGTCAGCAGCGCAGGTGTTCCTATGTTGGGTGTGGGCCTCGGACGCAACATCTTCATCTCTGAGCCAAACATTCACCTCTTTGTTTATTTACACATATGTATGTCTTTTTTTTTTAAGACAGCATCAGATAGAATATCAAACACTGAGTCACTTTGGGAGTAAATGGTTCTGTATTCCTCATTTGAAATTTGTTAAGTCCTTATATGCTATTATACTTCTTTACAGTCTTATTCAAGAGTTCTGTGGTACTATTTATTTTATAATCATTGTACCTTATTACTGTAAATATTTTTAACATTACACAAAATGATAAAGGACAACAGGACTATTTTAAGTCTAGCTAATGCCGGTAGCCTAGAACTCCATCTGAGTCTCTTCTCAACCCCCAGTAGTGATAGGAACCTGCTTGCTGCCTCCCAGGATACACATGAATAAAAAGGTAGAATCAAGAATGGTGCTAGGACTTGGAACCAGGTATTCTGTTGCTGAAATACAGGTATTCCAAATGGCAAGTAGAACACACCTCAGCAACCCTCAATCATCTTTAATAGTAATGGAATTTGCTTTCTTCCACTTAAAAAAATTGCTTTTTTATTTGAAAGGTAGGGTTTACAGAGAATGAAGAGAAGAGAAAGAGAAAAAAACTTCTGTAATATTCTGGGTTACTCCCCAGATGACCACAATGGCCAGGGCTGGACAAGGCTGAAGACATGAGCCTCTGCCAGGTGTGCCACATGTGTGCAAGGGCTCAAGTGCTAGGACAATTCTCTACTGCTTTCCCAGGGGAAGTAACAGGAAGCTAGATTAGAGATGGAACAGCCAAGACTTGCACAAACTATGCAGGTGGCAGCTTAATCCACTATATCACATTAGCCAAAGATTTCTTTTTTCTTTTTCTTTTTTTTTTTAATCACTTCTTAAACTCTTCTGTTAACTATCATGTTATGTAAGATTTTTGTCCCTTGGGGTCGGTGCCATGGCATAGTAGGCTAAGCCTCCAACCATTGTGCTCATTTGGGGAATGAACCGGCAGTTGGAAAATCTCTCTTTCTACCCCTCCCACACTCTGTAATTCTGCCTTTGAAATAAAGATAAAAATAAGTTTTAAAAATAAAGATTTTGGGTTTGATGCAATGGCTCAGTGGCTAATACCTCAACTTGCACACACCAAGATCCTATATGGATACCAGCTTGTGTCCTGGCAACCCCAATTCCCATCCAGCTCCCTGCTTGTGGCCTGAGAAAGCAGTAGAGGATAGCCCAAAGCCTTGGGACCCTGCACCTTTGTGGGAGACCCAAAAGAAGCTCCTGGCTTTGGATTGGCTTGGCTCCAGCTATTGTGGCCACTCTCTGTATTTGCTTCTCACTATAGATCTGGCTTTCCAATAAAAATCAATCTTTTAAAAACTAAAATATTTTGTCCCATATGACAGGAAGACCCAAAGCTAATTAAATTATTTGGAAAAAAGTTGGACCCGGCGTGATAGTGTAGTGGTTAAAGTCCTCTGCCTAGTTCACACCCGGGATCCCATAAGGGCGCCGGTTCTAATCCCGGCGGCCCTGCTTCCCATTCAGCTCCCTGCTTGTGGCCTAGCACAGCAGTTGAGGACGGCCCAAATCCTCGGGACCCTGCACCCATGTGGGAGACCTGCAAGAGCTCCTGGCTCCTTGCTTCAGATTGACTCAGCTCCAGCCGTTGCAGTCACTTGGGGAGTGAACCCTTGGATGGAAGATCTTTCTCTGTCTCTCCTCCTCTATGTATATCTGCCTTTCCAATAAAAATAAATAAATCTTTAAAAAATTATTTTAAAAAAGCAAAATGAAATTGTTTATCAAAAGCTGAAAAGTACAGAAACAATAATTTTGCAAAGAAAATATAGAAAATTTATTTAGTGATTAACAGCCAAAAATATCAGTATTTTGCCTATTCTTTGCAAAATGCATATGGAGAAAAAATGCATTGAATACTACATAATTTATATAGTGCAGTATTCTATAAAAATTCAGCATAAATTCCTTTACTTTTTTGCCAGTTCCAAAATTATAAATATTATTTTAAGTATGAAAAATGTTTGTTTAATATGATTATTTCATTGTAGCATTAAGTATGCCTCAAAAACCCATCAAGCCTTAGAAGCTGTGTTATCTGCTGTTATCGGTGTTTCAGTTAATTATTGATACTTTATCATCACTTAGAGTATTTTCACTTTGCTTTTGCAGTTATAAAGGTATAGTGAATATCTGCACAGATCTTAGGGATATTTAGTATTTTCTTAGGATAAATTTTTAGAAATAGAATTACTGAATTTAAAACTGTTTAGGAAAAAAAAAGGGAGGAGGGAGATGAATATTTTTAGGCTTTGGTTACACGCTAAACTTCTTTCCTGTGCAGTTTTTCTCAGTTTGCTGCCCACTGACTTTGGCAGTCTGCTGTTCCCTGCCCAACTTCAACTGTTAGAACAAAAATTACTGTTGCTTCCTTGTAGCTTTTTTTTTTAAGAAGGAAATTTTTCAATCTTAATACTAACATAGAAAGAATGGTGTAATTAGCTCCTTGTGTACATAAAACCCAGCTACAACAATTACTGATATGTTTAATGTTCTTTTATCACTCACACACCCTTTTTAAAAATTACCAGAATATTTTTAAACAACTCGCAAGCATGTTTCACCTGTAATCAGTATTATATGTGAATAATACTACATATACGGAACATACTACAAATACTTAACCAGCAACCTCAACTGTTGCATCTCAAGTATATTTGCATGCTTTTAAATTTTATTTATTTTTATTGCAAAGTAAGATATATATAGAGAGAGGAGGAGAATGAGAGAGGAAGAGCTTCCTAAAGGAGGACTCTAGCCGCTAGATACTGCCCGGGCCCAAATTATTTGTACTTTTAAAGTGGAAATAAAAAAGCCTCAGAGGAGACAAAGTTACTTAAACAAAAAAATAACACAATCTATACACCAAGATAATACATCTATTCACAGATAACATCCACAGATAACATGCCTTCAGATCTGCACGCACGGGGGAGGTCCGTGCATTGTTCAAAAATTCTACAAACTGCTCTGATCTCTTTGTCTCTCCTGGGGCAAGCTGGGGTTGGGGGAGAGCAACCAAATATGGGCAGAAGGTTATGGAAACCTGAAAGAATAGGTTTAGATGAGGATGAGGAATATGATGGGGCTGAGGAGAAAGGAAGCTATTGTCACATCCTGACATTATATTTGTTTATTGAGTGAGTGACCAGCAATTGCTCTATTATTGTTCAAGTAATTCTAGATCAAGGGTCAGATCATGAATGTAGACTGCTGTCAGTGGAGAAGTGAAGGTTTAGGAACCAAGGAAGTCACAGAATCCTAGTAGCTTGGTGGTGGTAGGAGGGGAGAAAGAAATGACATACCTTTCTCTCAACAAATGTTTGTAGGGCATCTTCCCTGTTTTAGTATTACTTTAGGTCTTAAGAAGAAAGCAGATGTAAGACAGAATTTATCATGGAGCTTGTATTCTTATGGAGAAGACACAGAAAATACAAAACATCAGATAGTGGACACAAGCTGCCCGGCTCCTCAGTTATGTCTGTACAATAAAAGGAAACAGAGTTAGGCCCAGCGCAGTAGCCTATTGGCTGAAGTCCTCGCCTTGCACGCACCAGGTTTCCATGTAGTTTCCATGTGGGCACCAGTTCATGTCCCAGCAGCCCTCCTTCCCATCCAGCTCTCTGCTTGTGGCCTGGGAAAACAATCGAGGACAGCCCAATGCTTTGAGACCTGGAGGAAGCTCCTGGCTCCTGGCTTCAGATCAGCACAGCTGCAGCCATTGTGGCCCCTAGAGCAGTGAATCAGGAGATGGAAGATCTTTCTCTCTTCTGTGTATGTAACTTTCTGATAAAAAGAAAGAAATCTTAAAAAAAAAAAAAAAGAAGAAGAAAGAAAGGAAAAGAAAGCAGGGTTTAGATGGCATCGGTGGTAAGGAGAATCAGACTATGTTGGTAGCCCCATTGAATTATGTTTTGTTGCTTCATCTGTGTTTTTCTTAACATAGACTGATTTGAACTTTACCCTTTTCACAACTCGTTGATTTTATTTGTGTCATCTCCATCCCTGTACCCTGTGAGGGTGAATTTCCCTATTACACGGTTATCAGCTCTGAGCAGCTGGTTTTGAGCTCTTTGGCCTCTCTGAAATTAGGACGTTTTTAGCTCATTACTTGAAGATAGCATTTTTATGCCCCCTGATCTTCCTTGGGTTCTTTGTTATTTCCCTCAACATCTGAGGATTTTTGTGGGGTTCTTTGGGAGAGAGTGTTAATTTTGATCAAGTGCACATTACATAAAACTTACCATCTTAAATGTTTTTAAATGCACGGCTCAGTGGCTTTGGATACGTACACATTATTGCAGTCTGTTCACCACCACCAGTCTGTAGCCTTGCTAGAAATATCTTGGTATTGTAAATGTTCTTTCTCAACAATGAAAAAGTAGCTTTCACTTCATAAATAGTTTAGCCATTTATTTTTTCATTAAATGAGGTCTTATGAAATGACCAGTGAAACACTAGGGGATTATAGATTCTAAGGCCTCCAAAGTATAGAAGAATGAGTCTGGCGCCAAATTGCCTGAGTTCAAATGCCAGTTCCTCCATTTTGTACCTTTGTGGCACTGGGCAGATTAACTATCTGGAAAAAAAATTAAGATGGTGCTACTTTTATCATTGTTCAAAGATTCAACTGTAGATTAGAAACAGTAAATGAGTGAGGTGAGAGACTTCGGAGGCAGTGAATCAGAGTGACGAAGGTTAAAGTGTCAGCATGACATCGTATGGCTAGGCGCACGCAGTATCCATCCGGACTGCTTTTAATGGCTTTCCTGTAAGACAGAAGCTGAGACACTGTAAAGAGGAAACAGATTCTTCCCTTCAGTTGGAGATGTAGGTGTACAATAATAATAATCATCCATACTTGCCTGAGTCTTAAATTCAAAGCTGAGTTAAACAGGAAGAAAAATCAGGGTATGAACCATCTATTTTGCTGGAAGCATGACGTTGGGGTTTTAGACTGAGCACATAAAAAGAATGAACTCATTTGAAATTCTAGTCCCGTATTCGATGTGTTCCTGATAAATCATATCACGTTGCAGTAGGTGAAGATAGTTTAATATTTATTTTCATGTTTTTTCTCAAAATGTTTAATTGACTTCTAATAGTGCAGTATTTATTGTGATATATTTTTGAAGATATATTTTTGTATGCTGTGGAAGAAACTTTTATCCCATCTTCATGTTGTAGGTTATTGAAGACAATGGTGTTCGGCGAGTTGTTGTGGTTCCTCAGGCCCCAGAGTTTCACCCTGGGGGTCACACAGTCATCCACCGCACTCCACATCCTCCTCTTCCCGGTTTCATTCCTGTCCCAACCATGATGCCCCCTCCAGCACGCCATATGTACTCCCCAGTCACCGGAGCTGGAGACATGGCGACACAATATATACCACAGTATCAGTCTTCACAAGTGTATGGAGATGTAGGTAAGAGAGCTAAAATTATTCCTGCTTTATTGAGTTGGATATTCTTTTCCTGGATATAATGGATACTGTCATCATCTCCTGCCAAAGACAATAAGCAGTAGTCGTATCGCTGTCATCTTCTGTGGCCAGCTGCCGTATTGATGCTTCATCCTCATGTTCACCCCTGGAGGCAAATGAGTAAACAGAAAAGCAAAGAGAAGAAATTACATCACGCAGAACCATGTACTACCAACAATCCTTTTTCTCTGTCCTGCTATAGACAGTCTAAGGATACAGTCAACTAGAATTGCTATGTCACTGTTTGATTGTGAAGGTTGTGCCACTGCACAAGTTACTGGGTTTGGTGAGGAATTAAAACAACAGAAGAAAAAAAAATACCCTCTACCTCAAGGAGCTAATAAATTTGAGGGAAGAGAAGACAATTACACACAAAATGAAATCTCAATCTTTTCCATGGCTTTAGATTTAAATAACCAATGTATGAATAACCCTCAAATTTATATTTCAGCCTAAATTTCTCTTCTGAGCCCCAGACTTCTGTTTCTCTTTTGATACCATGTCTTGTTTTGGACCCATATGACCTCCTTTCTTTCTGCAGCTTGTCCTCAGTAAATAAAAGCACTTGCCACTCCATTTGCTCAAATGAGAGCTGGATGGTTAGATTTTATCTCTCCTGTTCAGCCCTACATCATATGGTATCAGTTTCCTTTTAAGAGGTTTCCCAAGTTTACCACCTTCTCTATTGCTCGTCAAATCCAGTCTTCCATCAGCTCTTGTCAGGACAGCTCAACAGCAGACTTCCAGTAGGTTTTTCTGCTTTCATTCTTGCTCACTCAGCTGTCATAATCATTTTAAAATAATCTGTTTCTCAAAGTCTGTAGTGACTTCCCATTGTATTTAGAATAAAATCCTGGGACTGAAGCTGTGCCATATGTGGCTAATTCTCCCCTGGCAGCACTGGCATCCGAAATGGGTCCCAGTTTATACCTTGACTGCTCTACTTCCAATCAAACTCCCTGCTAATGGCCTGAGAAAGCAGCAGAGGATGGCCCAGAGCCTTGGGACCCTGCATTCGTGTGGGTGATGGAGAAGAAGCTCCTGGCTCTGAGCTTTGCAGCCCTTTGGGGAGTGAACCAACAGATGGAAGACCTCTCTTTCTCTATCTCTCCTTTCTCTATAAAATCTCTCTTTGAAATAAAAATAAATATTTTTATAAATATTTAATGAATATTTTTTTAAAAGAAGAAAATTCTAAACCCAAGCCCTTAGAACAGAGTTTTTCAAATTTGCTGTTGGTCATGTTTTGAGATAGGCAAGTTTTTGTTGTAGCTGAGCTCGTAGGATGCTTTGTGGAGTGGCTAATGACATCCCTGGCTCCTTCCCACCAAGGATGGCTATAGCACACAATTCTCACTGGGTTCCCCATCCCTACAGCCCCAAGTTATAACACCTAGAAATATCCATACTGTACTTCATGAATTATTTGGGTCAAGACTTGCCTTTAAAAGTGCTGTCTTGCTGCCACAAGTGCCTTGTCCTGTGGCTTCCCGTACTATGCTTTTTCAAAAGCTGCTCATTTCTTTCTTGCCTTAGGGTCCCTGCACACAAGTTGTGCCCTCTACCAGAAATATATTCTCCCTTTTTTGTAGAAAATTTTCTTTTTCTTTATGTTGCAGCTTTTAGAGAGACCTTTCCTGGCTTTTGTCAGTCTTTAGCACAGGAAACCCATTTTGTTTCTTTCACAAACCTTGACACAATTTTATTTTTAATTTTTCTATCTCCTTAATCTGACTGTAAACCCCCTAACAACTAGGTCTCTATTTAACACTATTTTTCCTTCCCTTAACAATGTCTATCACTTATGCTTAGGAAATTGATAGAAGAAACAACTCCAAAGTATAAGATTTAAACTGCATAACACAGCTTTCCATATTGAGTATATTATATATAGTATCAAATATGTATTTCTCAAACTTCTGTTGCCCAAGTAATGCAGTTTGACTCAGAGGAACCCTGTGAAGCTAGAGATTCTGCTTTTCTTTTTTTTTAGATTATTTTTATATAAAAAGCAGATTTATGGAGAGAAGGAGTGAAAGATCTTCCATCTGCTGGTTCAGTCTCCAAATGGCTACAACGGCCAGAGCTGAGCCAATCCAAAGCCAAAAACTAGGATTTTCTTACAGGTCTCCTACATGGTTGCAGGGGCCCATGGCCTTTAACCATCCTCCACTGCTTTCTGAGGCCCCAAGCAGGGAGCTGGATTGAAAGTGAAACAGCTGGGACTAGATTTGGCACCCATGTGGAATGCCAATGCCACCGATAGAACCTTAGCATGAAGCACCTCACCACTAGACTCCCTGATTTTCTTTCTTCTTTCCTTTTCTTTTCTTTTCTTTCTGTTTGTTTGTTTGTTTTTGTTAAGAAAGGAGGGTTATTTTTTTTTTTAAGATTGATTTCTTTGAAAGGCAAGAGTTCCAGGACCAGGGTTGGTAGAGCTTCCATCTGCTGCTTCACTTCCCAAAATGGCCACAGTGGCCAGTACTGGACCAGGCCAAAGCCAAGAATCAGAAGTTTTTCCCAGCCTGCCTCATGGGTGCACAGGCCCAAGCAGTTTGGCCAACCTCTGCAGCTTTCTCAAGCATATTAGTAGGGAACAAGGTTAGAAGTGGAACAATTGGAACTTGAACCAGTTCCCATATGGAATGCCAGTGCTTTCGATGATGACTTGACATACTGCACTACAGCACAAGCCCAAGGTTGTTCCTCTCTAGCAAGCTCCCAGGTGGTACTTCAAGGAGCACATTTTGTGTAGCAAGATGGCCAATTGTGCCATCCTTCTATTTTGTTTACTGCAAATCATGACTGACTTTTTAAAAACAAAACACATTTGAGAAAATTCTAAGCAAAATCTAAGTATTCTAATGTTATTTTATGTCCTTGTATTCAAAAGTATTTGCTAGTTATCCAAGGCACTGCTGCAAACTGTTCTCTTTACTGAAGTTTTTGTGACTTTTAAAAAAACATTTTTTTTCAGTTACAGATTTTAAATTCATAATTATTAACTTTGGGACAGTAAGTGTTTATGGGATATTTTGACTTCATTGTACACTATGAGGCTATTATAATTTAATTCATTTCTTTTTGCTAGCTTCCAAAATATTTTCCCATGATAATTTGGTTTCCTCAGTCATAATTGATATCTAGCCAGGCAGTATTTTTCTTAACTATTTTATATTTGAAGCTGAAAAAGATGTAAAAAGTAGTAACTACAAAAAAAGGCAACAGGAGAAGCTATGGACAGCTCGACCCAAGTCTCATTCCTCGCCTACCATACCACAAAGCTGTTTCTATGGAGAGTAATAATTAGTTAGGAAAAGATAAAGGAAAGAAATTTCTCTGTAAATGTACTCAATGTGTGTAATTATAATCAAGTCACAAAGCTTGGTCTCTCAGCTAATGGAGGCAAAGAAATAGCTTTGTTTTGCAGAATTATTTTTTTAAATGTTTTATGACAAAGTTAATATGATAAATTTAATGCCTATTCTTTTCCCCTGCTGTCAGCTTAATTGCAGAAAGTGATATTTATAAAAACATTTTTTAATTTCTTTCTAGATGCTCATTCTGCACATGGAAGATCCAATTTTAGAGATGAAAGATCTAGTAAAACATATGAACGTTTGCAGAAGAAATTAAAGGATCGCCAAGGAACACAGAAAGATAAAATGAACAGCCCACCATCATCACCCCAGAAATGCCCTTCTCCCACAAATGAACATAATGGACTAATAAAAGGACACAGTGCTAGTAGCACAAACACAGGCTCAGCGAAAAACAAGTCAGGGAAAGGAAGAAGTGCACAAGTTGATGCAGAAATAGAAGGTAACTATTTAAAATACCTTACTGTTCTCTCTGTGCTGTTTTTCGTAGTTACTTAACATACTGTAAGTATATTCTTTTCATAATGTTCCAAGTAAGTGGTTGATTGATAGCCTAACACTGTAAATATGAGACATTTTAGAACCTAAATTGATATCCAGATTCTTTTTTATTGAAATTTCAGTAGTGCAGCAAAATGATATATGTCTGAAACTAAAATGCTTTAATAAATTCCCTACTAACGAAGCTTAAATAATGTTTTAACAACTTCATGCATTAATACCATTTACAGAAATGGACTTTGTGAACTTGTTATCTTTTGATCCTTTTCTTTTTCAGCAGTAACATTTCAGAACTATTAAGCTAAAGCTTTGTATTTATCTTTGGTGCATATGTTATTATGAAACCAGTTACATTTCTATTTTGAGAAACCATAATTAAGGCATGCCATGAAAAAATAGTTAATTAAGCAGGTGTAAGATTGATAAATGAGTACTTTCCAGAGTAAAGACGGTCACAGTTATGAATAAAAATTACTTTGTAGAAGAATAACTTCCTGATCTAGAGATAATCATGTTATCATTAGTAATCACAGTGAAAATGGAAATAGAAACCAAACAGAAGAGTGTTAAAGAGCCACAAACTGCTAAGTATAAACAAAAGGGTGAAAAGTAGAAAATTAGAGGTTCAAATATCAAGCTAATTCCAGATGACATAAGGAGAACAATATTAGGGTGGTTATTGATTGTTTTTTGTTTTAGAAAAAGATGAAGAAACTAAAGCATTTGAAGCACTTCTTTCCAACATTGACAAACCAGCTGTAAGTAGCTTGTGTATTTTTTTCACATATGTATTTAATGTATTTATATAGGGCTTATTTATTTTTAGTTAAGCCTTACCTAAAACTTACTTATACATTAGAAATATGAGGTTGGAGCTTGGATTGTACTATAGCAGGTAAAGCTGACACCTACCATACCAGCTTTCCATTTGGGCATAAATTCAAATCCCGGCTGCTGCACTTCAGATCCAATTCCCTGCTAATGCACCTAGGAAAGTAGCAGAGGATGGCCCAAGTGCTTGAGCCCCTGCACCAACATAGGATAGTGGGAGAAGTTCCTGGCTTCTGGCGTTAGCCTGGTCCAGCCTCCACTGTGGCAGCCATCTGGGAAGTGAACCACAGATGGAGGATCTCTCTTTTCTCTATATAAGTCTGACTTCAAATAAATAAATTAAAAAATCTTTAAGAGGGGAAAAAAAGATATTAGAAACACTGAAGTTAGCTAGTAGTATATGAACTGTCTTTGGTGAGTTCAACACAGTATCCTGGAAAAAGTGTTCAGTTAAAATTTATTTAGTTAGAAGTTTAGATGATAGTATTACCAATGTAAATTTCTTAGTTTTCACTGAAGTACAGAGTTCCAGGACCAGCAACATCCCATATGGATCCTGGCTAACTCTGCCTCAATCCTTCTCCCTGCTCATGTGCCTGGGAAAGCAGCAGAGGATGATCCAGTGCTTGGGCCCCTGTACTGCGGTGGGAGACCCACATGAAGTTCCTGACTCCTGGCTTCTGACCAGCCCAACTCTGGGCAGTATTGCCATTTGGGTAGTAAACCAGTGGATGAAGAATCTCTCTGTAACTGTGCCTTTCCAATAAATTAAATAAATAAATTTATTTTTACAAACTATACTAGTGGTGCCAACAACATGTCATGACAGGTTAAGTTACTGCTAGCAGTGTCTGTACCCCACTGTAGGGGCCAGTTTGAGTCCCAGCTAGCTGTTTCATTTCCAATCTGCCTCCCTGGTAATGCATCAAACAAAGATGACCCTGAGTGTTTGCATCCCTGGTTTCACATGGGAAACCTAGAAGAAACTCTAGGCTTCTGGCTTCAGAGTAGCCCAGCTCTGTTCATTGTGGCCATTTGGGAAGTTATCCTGCAGGTGGAAGGTCTCTATCTCTGTCTTTCCTTCTCTATGTAAATCAGCCTTTCAAATAAAAATTTAAAAATCTTTTTTTAAAAGTGCAAGATACTAACGTCAGAGGAAACTAGTTAAAAGGTTCTTAGAAACTCCAACTACTATATTACCAACTTTTCTGTAAGTTTACATTTACTCCAAAACAAAAGTCTATTTAAAGTGCTATTGATTAGCTATGATAAATAGATTTTCTCTCAATTACTTATTTTGTGGATGAGGCCTACAGCCCTCAGAGGAAGAGTTCAATATTGCCAAACAATTAGTGGAAAGTCTTGTATCTACTTATTTAACATTTTCTCTACTGCCTATATACTTTGATTATGTAGTCAGTAACCCTAGTGCCTAATAAAATATATTTCATACATTAGATATCAGTTCTGTTGACCGACCCACTTTCAGCATCTTGCTAACATGTAACTTAACACAGTTTTGGCTATCCCATAAAATCCAGAGAAACATTGAGAGAATAATTATATGTATGATAAAAAAATTTTTAAAAAAGAGCAGGCTTTTAATTCACTCATTGATAAAAGAGATCATTTTTAGGCCCACTGCAATGGCTCCAGGATCACTTGGAAGAAGCTGCTGGCTCATGGCTTCAGATCAGCTCAGCTCTGCTGTTGCTGACATTTGGGGAGTGAGCCAGCAGACGGAAGAGCTTTCTCTCTCTGTTTCTCCTGTCTGTAAAATCTGCTCTGCCTTGATTTTTTTTTAAGAAAAAAAAAAGGGTTTAAAAAAATTTATTATTATTCTCATTTTATGATAGAGTTCCATAGGCCCTGGGATTTCACCTGCCTCATCAAATCCCCTCCCCTTGTAAGGTCCCCCATATCGTTACAACAGTATAGTTCCTCATAAATAATCATTTAAGTCCATCATTGTGGGCATGGACAATGGCAGAGTCCAGCATCCCATTGTCATGACACATCCAACAGTTTCACTGGGAATCCATCCTCAATCCGAAAGTAAAGATGCACTCTGCACCATTTCCTCACTACACTGTACCTCCACATTTGGACATGTCAGTCTCCGCTACACAGTCACTATAAATCTCCCCAAGTGAAAAACCACAACAAAATCAAACAAAAAGAAAAACAGATATTTACAATGCCATGAAGTTAAACAATATGACACTGGATATAATAGTCTCCATTACAGTTACTGTAGTCCCCCTTAAATAAAAGCCACAAAACAAAATCAACAACAGGAAGAAAAAAAAAGAAGTTAACAACACCATTAAGTTAAATAACATGCTACTGAATGACTAATGTGTCACTGAAATGAAAAAGAAAATCAAGAGCCTTCTTTAAGAGAATGATACTACTGTGTGATCTATGAATCAGTGAAGAATTCAGTGAGAAAAAAAAAGTGTTTTGGAGAAATGAAGCTAAAAAGCTAAATATCAAAATCCATGAGACGTAGTTTCTGCTGAGCCTTGTTGGTGAGATGTATCTCCTGTAGGCAACAAATAGATGGGTTTTGTTTTGTTTTTAACCCAGTCTACTAATCTATGGTGTTTGATGAGTTTAAGCAATTTACATTCAGGGTTAATATAAATAGGTGGTAATTTGTTCCTGACATTTAGCAATGGGTTGTTCATTGATATAGTCTTCTGTTTTTATTTTACTGGGATGTTCTTAACATTTGCCTTTGGTTTTGGTGGGTGCTATTCCTATTTTTGTCAAGAGAACATCTTTATAGTATCCTTTGTAAGGCAGGTTTGAAAGAGGCCTGTTCTTTTAACTTTTCTTGACTGTGGAAGAATTTTCTTTCATTTTGAAAGACAAAGGAAAGCTTTGCTGGGTATGTTATTCTAGGCCAACAATTATTTCCTGTTAGAATCTGGAATATATTGCTCCATTCTCTTGTGACCTATAGATTTTCCTGTGAGAGGTCAGCTGTGAGTTTGATTGGCATTCCTCTCTAGGTCAATTGATTTTTTTTTTTTCATGAGTGCATATAAGGATCTTTTCCCTATGTTGTGTTAAAGAGAGCTTGATTATCAAGTGTCTTAGTGAAGATCACTTTTGGTCAATCCTGTTGGGAATTCTGTGCCCCTCCTGAATGTTTTATCTCAACTCTCCAGATTAGGGGAATTTTCCCTTAGTATTTCATTAAATGCATTTGTAAACCCAGCTTCTCTTTCTGCACCTTCTGGAACTCCTGTGACTCTTTTATTTGGCCTTTTAATAGTGTTTCTTAATTCTTAAATACTTTTTTTGGCTTGACCAGCTCAGCTCCAACTCTGATTGTTTCCCCATTGTGACAAGAAATATCTTCCAGTTGTGAGATCCCTTCTGCTGCTTCATTCATTCTATTATTGAGACTTTACACTGATTTTTTTAATGTGCTGTATTGTGTCCTTCATTTCCAATAATTTGGCTTGATTTTGTTTCAGTGTTGCTATTTTCTGTGTGATATAGTGCTTAATTAAATTCCTGGAATGTGCCCTCTCTGCTTCACCCTGGCTGATGTTTCTCTGTCTGTTTAGACATGTTCTTACCCTATCCCACCATCTTGATTCTCTAAAATAGATCATTTTTAAGTCCATTATAAGTGAGACATGTTTCTAAGGCTTTAAGATAGTGTTGTAGTAAAACACTGCAGTTGCTGTGACTTATAAAGTTGAATGATTGTTAGTATTAGTTTTTAACTTTTTCCAGGCTTTGAGGGCTTTGACACAAGAAAGTTACTAAAGTAAAGATTGAATATTCTGCCTAATTCAAGATAGACATAGTCCTGATACAAGTGACTAATGATTTAGATTAAACAATTTTAAGTAATTTAGAAATGTTTTGCTGGGTGGGTGGTTTTGTTCTTTGGGGAGACAAAGAAACAGAAAAAGCCCCTGTTTGCTCTTGTACCCCCTGAGATATCCACAACAGGTATGACTGGGCTGGGGCCAGAGGTTGAAGGCAAGAACAACACTCCAGGTCTCCTTGTGGCTGGTGATAGGAACCCAATTACCAGAGCTATCACCACTGCCACCCATGGTCTGCATAGCCCAAAAGCTGGAAGCAAAGATAGGAAATTGATCCCGGGCACTCCACTACTGGAATAGCATCTAAGACACTAGGCTAAGCACCTGTACCCTTTCTTACTAATTCCTAAGTATTGTCCTCTTTATTATACTGTTGTTGTAACATCTCATACTCATAAAACCATTCAGTAAGAATGGAAATATGTAAAGTATAATCCAAACCTTATGCTTTCCACTCACAACACTTTCTGCATTCCAGCACGCTTATACAAGAGTACTTAAAAAAAAAACAGAAAGAAAAAAATGGAGTCAAAAATGGTTTATTTTGGCACACACAAAAAATTGAAATTCATGCATAGCTTTTGCATAATAAGCAGTTCTCATGAACTTTGAAGATCCCTTAAATGCATAGATCACAAAATTTTTGCACCAAAACAAATATCTTTAATTTCATTTTTCTTGAGCATTTTTTTAAAAAAAAAGTACCTTCATACACAATGTCTTCAAAGGTAGCAGTAATTACATTTGCATTTTACATTTTCAGTTAGCTTTGTGCATTAAAAAACTTAACACACCTGTGACCATACCCTATGCATGTCAGCCTCCCCTTTTTCCTACTATTGCATAACTTGAATATATTGATGAAATCTTTACATGCCAGCACATATATGACTGTCTCATTCTCTTTAAATAAATTTGTTTATTTTACTTGAAAGTCAGAGTTACAGAGAGAGAGACAGGGAAAAACAGTGGTCTTCCACCATCTGCTTCACTTCCCAAGTTACCAAAGTAGCCAGAGCTCAACCAGTCTGAAGCTGGGAGCCAGTAGCTTCTTCTGGGTCTCATACATTGGTTCAAGAGCCCAAATACTTTCTCATTTGGATGTGACCCCTATCATGTATGTTACAAGTGATTTTTTTTTCCTTTGACTATTTTTTTTCCTTTTTTTCCTTTCCTTCCTTTCCTTCCTTCTACACTAACAGTTTTGAATGACCTCAACTGATCTTTAAATTTTTGTTGAGCCCATCTACCCTTTCTCAACACATTGTAGCTCATGTATAGTCTTCTGTTTTGAAATATACTATCATTAAACTACATACAGAATTTTTATTAACTTTCATGGTCATTGCATATTCCACTACTCACCATCCACATTGCGTTTGTTTAAAAAGCTTTTAAATGTTGTTCTTGCAGGCCTCAGACATCCAGGCAAGGTCAATAGTACTTACCTGGTCAGCACCTTCCAGCATGGCTAATGGCGAAACAGACGAAACTTCTGTACCAGAGCTCTATGGTTATGAAATCCTGCTGTCTAGTTCTGGCAAAGATGGGAAATACAAAAGTGTATATGTGTACGTGTTTGATGTGTTTTGTTCCTTCTTAAATATTCTATAAACTAACGGTTCTCGGTTTATTGCTAATTTAGTCTTTTTTTCTCAGAGATTTATTTTGAATCTGGAGGTTGGTCAGTGGTGATAATTTCCATGTCAGTAGGCCTTACTCAAGCTGGCATACATTGCCCTTAGTAATACCTCAGAATAATCACTCTCATTGGCCATCAGCATATTATTTACAGTAGGCCAATAGATGTTTTCAGAATTCACATATTCTTGGTGCATTAATACAAATTGTGGTATATAGAACTCAAGACTTTAGGCCTAGTTTTAAATCACTGTGTTGAAATTCCCGTGAAGAAACTGTACCTCATGAATGTTTATTCATAAATGGTAGCATGGCAAAAGAACACTATAATGAAACATAAGTATGAAAAGTCTTATCTTAGAATTAAGATATAATGGTTAAAATGCTAAAGCATTAATAATTGTTCTATGTTTAAGATTACAGGATGGGTTCCTGTAAAATGTGAAAGAAATTTGATTACTAGTATATGTAGCCCAAGCAAATGAAAATATTTTTCCTAGTTTTGAATGTGGAGTTTCTAAACAAAGCTAACTCTTCTTTAAACATTAGGGAAACCAAAATGTTGTATACCTGTGTGGAAGTGAAAGACATTAGAATGTCTAGCTGATAGAGCTTTAATCTCATTTAACAAATTCCTGGATTCTTTTTACTGTGTGGGTAAAAGATCATGTCAGCAGTAATGCCTTAGGTAAAAAGTAATCCCAGCTTTCCCTGCAAATTAGAGAATTATGTGGAAAATGTGATAACCACACACAGTTTTAAAAACAGATGAGATCTCTTAATTGGGAATATTACTGTCTTTATAAAGGCTTGAATGTAACTGTTACATTACAAGTTCATATCCTGTCTTAAAATGAACACAGAACCAGTGTTGCTTATTTGTATATTAGCTTATTGATAATTGTGTTTTGAAAATATATAGTTCTTTTTTCTTGGCTTACAAATATTTATGCTTTAGGAATCATGGGTGTCTAAAATTATAGCATTTATGACAGTTTGAAAATAACTTTCTGTCTGTTTATATAGAGAATGTTTATTCTTATAGGAAAAAATACTAAATCTAATTATTATTTATAACTTAAACACCAGAAAGAATGTAAAAGAGGTGGATTAGTCATTTGAGTGGTCACAGCACAGAACGTTATCTGTATCAGCCATTTTGGCATGTTTTCCAAGAAATAGCTAGTAAGGAGAAGAAAGGAAAGTGAAAGTGCCCCAGCTGTTATCATCTTGTTGCATAAGATTATAAAAATGCCAGTGCTTCTTCATTGGTATTTCCTTGTGTTTATTCAATTTTCCCTAAATGAGACAGATAAGTCTACTTAAAGGAAGTGAAGAGGATAAAGCACCATCAGCATGAATGCTTCTTTTGTTATTAGAGACTCTCTAGTTAGATGTGGCTTTTTGCTGGCAAGAAAGACTTTATTTATATTTTCAACCTGACCAGAAAGCACAAGGACACGTGTCACCTCCTTTGTCCCGTAGCAGTTAGTCTCTCCCAGAGGCTGACCCTTCAACTTCCCAGTTCATTGAAGTGTACTTTGGTTAATGAGACATGTATGTTTGATATTGTGTTTACTGACTTGGCTTGGGAAACAAGGTAGCTGGGAGACTAGGGAATATGGAAGAAGTCCATGAAGTAGAGAGGAGAGAATCTGGAGTGAAGTTGGGAACAACAATATAAATAAGGGAAAAGAGGCTGCTAGGTTGTGGCTACATTGCCAGATGATAGTCTTCTCAAATGCTTATTTTTAGGATATATGCTGTTATATTGGAAAATAGAATAATGGCTATGGAAAATGTACTTTAAATTACAATTCACTTTTATTTTCTCTCCTATTCTTTAAATTGTTATGAAGTGCCATGTTATCTAATAAAATGAAATAGACTTCTTGTAAAAATGTGATAATTTTACTTTGAATAATACATGTTTTATTCAGCATTTCATGTTCAAATGGATTTTTAAATAATTGAAAATTGTTTTATTTCTTCAGTAGGCTAAATATCTTCCAAAATTCCACTCAAAAAATAAAGAAAAGGTCTAATTTATACACTTAACATACTGAACACATTTTGTTTTGAAGTGGTATGCATGTGCATTCCTAAAATTTGGCACATATCCTAGTTGTACAAGTTTTAGTGAAAACTATATGGTGATAGCCTGTAAAAGAAGAAAGAGTATAATTTCATAAAATGCTACAAACTGTGTTGTATATAATACGCATCTTTGGAAATGTTTTATTTATCACACACTGAAATACCTTTCCCTTTCCCTGGCCCACCCCAGAGGAGAAGAAACAAGTGTCACTCTGAATGATCTCAAACCAGCCACAGATTACCATGCAAAGTAAGACGCTCTTAGATGTTTGTTTGTTGTGATACAGCATGATGAAGTTGTTGTGTGGGTTTTAAATAGTAATTTTCTTTAAAATTTTCCAATATAAATATTAACTTTGGATTAAAAATATGAACTTTGGGGATTATTTTTATATTGTTGTAACTGTCAACATTTTCTTTAAATAAAGTGTGTTAATAATGTTTACAGTGAAGTTTTGGTACCTGTTAGTATGATATAAAATTTGGAATGAGCATCTGATTGGGCACTCACAACTTATTCTGGCTTTTGAAATTTATATCAGCGTCATAAATAATAAGATTTATTTTTATGTATTTTTAGAACAAAAAGTTTGAGAGAATTTGGGTTTAAAAATGTCAGAATTTCACAACATTTTGTGGGAGAATCTTGGATACTATTTTACACTGTGTGGACCTAGTAACATTAACTGGACTTTGATCAGTTTAGCATCCCCTCCCCAGCTGGTGCCCAGTATAGCACATTTAATCACTCCATTCATTTCAAGGACCACTTATGATTGGGTTTATTCCTATTGAATTATTAAGTTGTCAAGTATATTTCCTATGGATAAACCAAGTACTGTTGAATCTAATGCTTTTTAAAATGTGGATTCTAACCTTTAGTGAATCCTAAATTTGTTACAAGTTATATTCAGCATTTTTTTTAATGAAAGGAAGTCAGATGTAATGGAAGGTGTTAGTATTACCACCAGTTAAGATTATTATTTCAAGACACTGTTTAGGAAATTTTGTTTATATGTATGTGACTAAATACATGTATGCACAGAAACAGTTATGTCATAAGCTTAAATGCATTTGAGTTATGGTTTAAAGAAAGCCACTTGTCCTATTTTTCTGCCTCACTTTATTTCTAATATACTTTCTCAATAAAATAGAGAACATCTTGCAAACTTGAAAATACTTCAAGATACCATCGAAAGCAGGAACTACTGATTGTGATGGTAAACTGTCTTATTTTGTCACTCTAGAGTGCAAGCAGAATACAGTTCTATGAAGGGAACTCCTTCAGAAGCTGAAAGCTTTACCACCTTGAGCTGTGAACCTGACATCCCTAATCCACCACGAATAGCCAACCGGACCAAAAACTCACTCACTTTGCAATGGAAGGTAAGAATATTCTGTAAATATTTCCAACTGGACATTAATTTCTACCCTCTCCATACCACTTTGTGTTAAGCTGCAGTTGTTTCCCCTTCTGCCCACTTAAGAGACATGGATTAAAGTTTTACTCCTGGCTTCAGCCAGATCTAAAGCTCTTGAATTTGAAGTGAACCAGCCTATGGAAAATCTCTTTCTGCCTTTCAAATAAAATGAAAATGAAAAAAAGAAAAGCCAATTCGTAACATAAACAACTCTCAACACATACATATTTCCATGTTTGATTAAAAAGTATTACTGATTTTGTATCATGCTACTTACGGAAGCATTTTATCTAAGAATAGGCTCTAGACCATTTTCCTTTGGGAGAACAGTTCGAGTAGCAGGTAGTCAGTCCCTCTAGGTAGATTGGGAGTTCTATAGGCACTGCTCTTTATTCTGAAGGCAATCAAAATTTGCTTTGAAATTTCCACCTTTAACAGTATTCCATCAGCCCTTTCACAAGATATAGGCAATGTTTCCCACACAGGTTACTCAGGTTTGGGCTCTAGAAGCAGACAGCCCTGTCCACACACGGTAATCAGCAAGGTTGGAGAAAAGCATCATCAAATTTTTACTGGGGATAGTATAAGCTTTAGTTGTTGGGAGGATTAAACAGATTATATCTGTGTAGTCCACAGCACCAGTGCTTGGAATTTAGCAACATAAAAATTATTGTTATATCGTTATAAAGATTTTTAAAAATCTTGCATTGAGTAGTGGGGTAACCTGAATATCCTGTCATTTTATTCTGCTGTCTTACATACTCTAAAAGCATTCCTTGGGCAATTGATATGGAATGAGAACAGTGCTGTGAGTGGACTTGTTGGTACCACTTCATGGAAATATTTTATCAACTGATGTTTATAATTGCTAGTGCACTGTGGTCATGATAGCAAGCTCAAGTTGATCTTCTCTCTTATTTCTGGTACCAGGCTGGCTTACTCAGCTCTTGAGACACTGCTGAGCGGGAACACTGATTTTGTGGTCAGGCCAAATTCAGCTCTGCTCTCACTCTTCGTAACTTTGTGATTTCAGGCTACTTGTTTGGGTTCTTTAAAGCCCCTGCTTCCTTTTTTTGTAATGTTTGAGTAATAGAACTTCATGAACTTACCATGATGATTTATTAAGATAAAGTAACACATTTTACAGATAATAGTTTTCCCTCTAGCCTGGAAAGAAGAGCTACAGGAGAGGTCTCAGCTTTTTGAAGTGGACATTTTGAAGATCTAATCAGAAACTTTCATTTTTTATTTTATGATACAATTCCATAGGCTCTGGGGGAAAAATTAAGAAAAAAAGGAAGCAAATAAATGTTGAGATTTCAGCAACCAGACTAGAGCAGTGTGGAGTTGATCTTTAAGAAATCTGTTTCCTGCTGAGATTTGTGATAGCTTTCTGTGGGTTCTCTTCTTCTGCTGTTTAATAAATTGGAGTTTCCCAAGAATCGTTTTACTGCTCCCTTCTCACGGTATTCACTTTTATAACTGCCACATGGCCAGTCAGTGGAATCTTAACTTTACAGGCAAATTATGTCATGCTAACTAGGTAAAAATTACAGTTTGTTAATTGTCAACAATAAATTTGGACCTCCCATTTTATAAATGACTATTAAGTGTTTGGTCATTCTTGATTATAATTTACATAGTTGACAGTGTTATAAAAAAATGGATAGAGTCCCCAAAATCAGAAAGTAAGTTCTCTACAGAGTCATTTCAAAACTTAAAATTACATTGGAGAAATCTTAAAACTGTCTGTAAATGTGAAGTTATGCAGACAGACGTGATCATTTGTTCTGCATAGAGAACAGTTGAAATTACTGACAGAAGTTCACTTACAAGTGAGGGTGAAATTCTAGTTTCAAGAATGAGTAAATACTGAAGTAAAATGTTGAAGGAGGATTCAATTCAACAGCGCTGGCAGTCCTATTCATACAGCGCTTTGAGTCTGAACACACGCAGTCCAGTCAGCACACCTGCTCAGAATTCCTTCAGCATCCTAAGTCTTCATTCGGGTATAATACGCAATATTTTGCGTAGGTTATAAGGTGAATTCTAATTTAAAAAAAAAGGAAGAAGAAAAAGAAAACAATAGGAGCTGATAAAAACCTGATAGGCAAGCAACATAGTTTTTGTTGTTGTTGTTATTGTTTTTAATATTTATTTTTATTGGAAAGCAAATTTACAGAGGAGGAAAGATAGAGTATAGGATAATCTGTTCACTGGTTCACTTTCCATGTGACCACAAAGGCCAGAACTGAACTGACCTGAAGCCAGGAGTTTCTTCTGGCTCTCCATGCTGCTGTAGGGTCCCAAGGCTTTGGGCTGTCCTCCACTCCCCCTATGCCCTATGACACAGGCAGGGGTTGGATGGGAAGTAAAGTACCCAGGACATGAACCGATGCCCAAATGGGATCAACATGTGCACGGCAGAGATTTATTTAGCCACTGAGCCATCCTAACGGGCCCACAAAGTGATTTTTTTTTTCAAAGTATTGTGAAAGTTTAAGATAATTCTTGATTTAAAAAAAAAATCTTCACTGTTCCCAAGTGCATTATGGCTTGGTTTTCTTTCCTTCTATTTAAAAGAAATGTGGAGTCTATAATACATACCATATTTTCTGTGCATATTTTTCTAGAAATTAGTCATAGAAAATATTTTCAACATAAAATAGATTGCATAGATTAAACCATCATAATATCAATCATAGAAGTACTGATTTTTGTGTGTGTGTGTATGTGTTTTTCTTTTAGGCACCTAGTGACAATGGTTCTAAAATCCAGAGCTTTCTTTTAGAATGGGATGAGGTAAGTCAGTTCTTTTTAACTGGTTGAAATTACGTGCATATCTTCATACAGATATATTAATAATTAGGTTTTCCTCCTTGAAAAACAGTGTGATTTTTGTGTGATAAATGGGTAGATTGATGGTGTTCTTAGAAAACATTGACTAAACCTCCCTATGTAATATTTGTCTTCAATTAGACCACCTTCAGAACTGACATTTAGGTTATTACCTTGTTGAAGGAAGATGATTTTTTTTTGTCCTATCAGTGTGTTCTTTCTCTATGACTACTATAACAAATTACCACAAATCTGATAACTTAAAGCAGTATATTTATTATCTTACATTCTAGAGGCCAGAAAAAAGAAAATGTGTTTCACTGGGCCAAAGCCTATGTTGGTAGGCCATGCTCTCTCGGGAGCTTTGGAGGAGAGTCTGTTGCCTTGCCTTGCCCAACTTGTTACTTGCTTAGGGCCATAAGACCTTTGCCCATCTGTTTCCATCGTTTTCTTCCTCCTCTTGTCTTCAAATCTTCTGCTACTGTCTGATAAAATTCCACTTAGGCTCCACTCAGACAATCCAGGATCATCTCATAATCCTTAACCTACTCACAATTTACAGTCAGGCCACCATATAAAATAACATCCATGGGGCCTGGCAGCGTGGCCTAGCAGCTGAAGTCCTCACGTTGAACATGCCATATGGGTGCTGGTTCTAATCCCGGCAGCTCCAGTTCCTATCCAGCTCCTTGCTTGTGGCCCGGGAAAGCAGTTGAGGACGGCCCAAAGCTTTGGGACCCTGCACCCGTGTGGGATATCTGGAGGAAGTTCCTGGATCCTGCCTTCGGATCGACATAGCATCGGCCATTGCGTTCACTTGGGGAGTGAATCATCGGACAGAAGATTTTTCTCTCTGTCTCTCCTCCTCTCTGTATATCTGACTTTCCAATAAATAAATAAATCTTTAAAAATAAATAAATAAATAACATCCACAGATTTCAGGGATCAAAATCTGGAAGTCTTTGGAGCCATTAGTTAGCCTAGCACAACAAACTGAGCTCATAGTTTAATACATTATTTTACTGTCTCTTAGGCATCTGTGTTACCCTACTTTGTAAGCCTCATTAAGAGCAAGTGGAAGAAATCCCACTGATAATTTGGAGATTCAGTAGTAGAATATGAAAATAATTAAACACATCAAGAACTTCCATAAATTCTAAGAGAATAAAGAATTGATAGTATGTAAATACAAAAGGAAATGCATATCAGTTTGTTAAATGAGGAGAATTTGATAAAATTTAGCATCCATCCCAGTTAAATAAGGAATAGAAGTTTTCCCTTTTCTGAAAGCCATTTTTGTACCATTTTTACACAATTAAAGCATAATAGGTCAGAACTACCAATTATCCCAGCCTTCACATACCATATGCAGGAAGTTAGGGTTAATGCACAAACAAGAGACATAGTCATTAAACCTAACATGGGAGTGCAACAGTCATTTTTACCTCTAACATAGTAAAGAAAATTGGGTAGAGAATGAGAATCTAGCACATTTTGTTTAATACTCTTTAAGTTTCCAGAATCCCTTAGTTCTAGGCTGTCCCGATTTCTTCTCTTATTGCCTGTAATTTGGCCATCCTTTTTGCTAGAACTCTTTCAGTGGTAAATATAAGCAGGAACATCTCCAACATCTGTAGTTTAAAGAAACTTTGAGAGTAGGTAGGGACCTTTACTTGGAAGTGTTTGCATAGAGTTTTTCCTATGTTAGAGAAAGCTATCAGTTGTCCATGTGAGAAATCATCTGTTTCTGCCACTACAAGCCCCATGGTGATTATGAGGTCCATATCGGAAAGCATTACTTAGCCAGAGATTTTGTATTGGCCGAAACACAGTACTTACTTCAAGGAGCTAAACAAAGATACCTACTGTATGGTATTTGAAAACTGCGTTTCCTGAACTGGAGCATATAAAAGATGTTTCTAAACCTTTTAAGATCCATGAATTACATGTAACAAAGATGATTTATAATGTGCATTAGTTCAAACTTATCAAGAACAACTGGATGTAAATTTATGTTTTACGATCATGTTCATGGTGTATATAATAATCAGCCATTCATTTTAGGGAAAAGGAAACGGAGAATTTTGTCAGTGTTACATGGGTGCACAGAAGCAATTTAAAGTTACTAAACTGTCACCAGCAATGGGCTGTAAATTCAGACTATCAGCCAAAAATGATTATGGTACAAGGTAAGATGTGTTTTATAAAATAATGTAGATATCTTACATTATCCATTGACTTCATTTGTATAATTATTCACAATCCATATTATACACTAAAAATTCTACTTTACTTTATCACTTTTTGATATAGTTAAGATGTGTTAAGATCCAACAAAAACTAAAAAAAGGACAAGAATTTGACCTAGTTATTAGACACTCATGTCCCACATTGGAATAGCTGGCTCTGGCACCGACTCCAGCTTCCTGCTCATTCAAACCCTGACAGGCATGGCAGTGGCTGCAGTGGCTGGGCTCCTGCCACCCACCTGGGCAATCTAGATTAAGTTCCCAGCTCCTCACTTGGGCCAGGTCCAGCCATGGGGACATCTGATTAGTGAATCAACAAATGAAAATGCTCTCTCTTATTCAAATGAAGTTAACAGCTTTATCAATACTTTAAAATATGTGTGTGACCAAAATATTTTTATTGGTTTTCAATATACATTTTATTATTTTGTAAAAACTCTGGTAAATTCTAACAGCATCTAAATATTTGATTAAGCTGGAAAGGTCAAGTGCCTTTCAAGAATCACACTGAAATTGGTTTTCCTCTGGAGATTCCTCTGCCCACTTCTGATGAGAGCATAGAGGTTTAATTATAGTACAATAATTTGTTTTCTATTTCTTACAAGTACCATCGTATTAAAGTGTATTTAAAAGATGTAACCCATATATCAATAAAGAAACATTATTGTGTTCATACTTTCATTATAAGGTATAATATATATTTCTTAACTTTCTTTTTAATTCATTTTTTTTTGGTGTCAGTATGGTTGCCACGAAGATATCGTGTTACCAAATCTATGGTAGACTATTTGGATTGCAAATCACAGGCAAAAATTGTGTCATGTTCAAAAAATATAACTAATCAAATATTTGTCCATTGCCTATAAAGGTAATTTTTTCATTACTACTTAAAAATTATTTGTTTCAACAGTGGCTTTAGTGAAGAAGTGCTGTATTACACCTCAGGCTGTGCCCCTTCCATGCCAGCAAGTCCTGTGTTAACTAAAGCTGGAGTCACCTGGTTATCCTTACAGTGGAGCAAGCCCTCTGGAACGCCATCAGATGAAGGAATTTCTTATATTTTAGAGATGGAGGAAGAAACTTCAGTAAGTAAGGATATGGAGCTCCTGGGCTCGGCGCCATAGCGTAGTGGTTAAAGTCCTCACCTTGAACGTGCTGGGATCCCATATGGTCGCCGGTTCTAATCCCGGCGGCCCTGCTTCCCATCCAGCTCCCTGTTTGTGGCCTAGGACAGCAGTTGAGGATGGCCCAAATCCTTGGGACCCTGCACCCGTGTGGGAGACCCAGAAGAGCTCCTGGCTTCTGATTTCAGATTGGCTCAGCTCCAGCCATTGCAGTCACTTGGGGAATGAACCATCAGACAGAAGATCTTCCTCTCTGTCTCTCCTCTCTGTATGTCCACCTTTCCAATTAAAAAAAAAAAAAGATATGGAGCTCCTTACCCAAGTCCCAAGATTTGGAAGACTAGGAATGAGGGAGTACTCCATCTTCTGTTCCCTTAATGTTATAAAAAGGATTCTGGGGTTTCTGTATGTTTGAAATTCCATTTTTGTCTTTCGACAATACATCTTTTCTGAGCTTTGGATTGTTTGTTTTGTTTTTTGAAGAACTATTATTTATTTGAAAGGCAATGTTACACAGGCAAAAAGAGGAAGAGAAAGGGAGGGAGATCTCCACTCACTGGCTCACTCCCCAAATGACCACAGTAGCCAGGGCTGGACCAGGCTGTAGCAAGGAGCCTAGAACTCCAGCCTGGACTTACATGGGAGTGACAGAGGCCCATGCCTCGTGGGCCATCATCCACTACGTTCCCAGGCACATTTTGAGAGGAAGTGGATTAGAAGTGAGACAGTCAGGACTTAGGCACTCATACAGGATGCCAGCATGCAGGCAGCAGCCTAACCCACAGTATAATGCAGACCCTACCATATCTGTTTCAAAATAATAAGAGAAGAACATCACCCCAGCCTATTAGACTAAACATCTCTAAAAGGCAAGGAAGTTCCTTGTCTTCCTTCTCCAGCTGTGTTTCTACACAGCTTCCCAAAGTGCCACACAGTCACGTGGGGCTAGCTAGTGCAGCCTGAATCTAGTTACCCATGACATGAAGTTAGCCATGATGCCTCTCATGGGCTACCACCTAACTAACCAAAAGTTAGGTCATCTTCTGTCTGTAGTTCCATAGCTCTTTAGATCTACTTCAATGCAACAGACATCAAAAATAGCTTTGACCTCTCCTATGTGGCAATCCAAGAAAAGTAAAAGCATATATTCAGGGCCCACACCATGGCAAAGCATGCTAAGCCTTTACCTTCAGTGCCAGCATCCAGTACAAGTCCCAGTTGGAGTACTCACTGTTCCACTTCCCATCCAGCTCCCTGCAAATGGCCTAGGAGAACAGCAGAGAATGGCCCAAGTCTTGGGTCCCTGCATCCTTGTAGAAAAAGCTTCTGGTTCCCAGCTTTGGTTCAGCCCTGCTCTGGTTGTTTCAGCCTTTTGGGGAGTTAGCCAACAGATGGAAAGTATCTCTCTCTCTAACTCTTTCAAATAAAAATAAATAATTGGTTTTTTTAAAATACAAAAAATTTATACACAAATGTTCATAAAAGCATTATTCATAATATCCAAAAAATGGAAATAACACAGATGCCTGTCAACAGATGAATGATAAACACATTGTAATATATAACCCTATGATGGATTATCATTCACCCATAAAATGCATGGTATACTGATAAATTGTATGATGTGAATAAATAGTGAAAATATTTTGCTAAGTTCTTTTACTTAGAAAAGACAATATGCATTGTCTATATGGATTCAGACAAATCCATAGAGAGAGAAAGCATATTAGTGTGGGATCAATGCCATGACTCTACAGGTTAATCCTCCACCTACAAGCACTGGCATCCCTTATGGGTGCAGGTTTGTGTCCCAGCTGCTCCAATTCCTATACAGCTCCCTACCCATGGCCCACAAAAGCAGCAGAGGGCATACCAGGTCCTTGGGACCCTGCATCTACGTGGGAGACTCAGAAGAAGCCCCTGGGTCCTGGGTTCAGATCTGCTCAGCTCTGGCCAGTGCCATTTGAGGAGTGAACCAGTGAATGGAAGATCTTGCTTTGTCTCTCCTCCACTCTATAAATCTGCCTTTCTAATAAAAATAAATAAATATTTTTAAGGCATATTAGTAGATGGAAATTGCTAAAAATACAGGCTTTATTCTCAAATTAGGAATTAGGTAATATTTAATATGGCCATGTGAATATACTATAAACTGACTTTAATACTTTTTTTAATGTATGAAAATTGTCAGTAGAGCTGTAAACAGCAATCTCAGAGGTAAACAGCATCCTCACCTGCCAGCACAAGTATCCATTCAGTTAACCTGTATACAGCTTTGTTCACAGCAATTTAACTGTTAGACATTTAACTGTTAAACAGTCACACTTCTATTTAGCTCTTGCATGTAACTCAGTGGGAAATTCCTGTTCTCAGGTTAGCTTACTCAGATGGTGAGGTTAGCACTGTTCCTATTCTTCCCTCAATTCATATTTTCTCTTGGTTACTGGGTTTATTGAGGTTCTTCTACAAATATTTGTTGGCAGTTTTGGGTCCCTCCACTTGAGAAAAGCATTAAGGTGAGTCTTACCCTCAGCCTAGCATTAGTCAGGGTGCACATTGCAGAAGACAATGAAGCACCAGGTGTCTTCCCATAGATATTGTTCCGCATGCTGATGCTTATAGACACTAATGAAGAGTTTGTTTTCCTTTTTCAGGGGTATGGTTTTAAGCCTAAATATGATGGAGAAGATCTTGCTTACACAGTGAAAAATCTCAGACGAAGTACCAAGTATAAGTTTAAGGTGAGATTTGAAAATCCTTGAAAGATTTCATATCTTGTTGTTTAAAAGCCAAAGTACATGTCTTGGTCCTGTGGTTTTAAACCTTGACTCTTCTTCATCTTTCGTAATGAGCTTTGTTTTACTCTATACTATGTAACAGTGCTTCTACTACTTTATATATTTAAACTCAAAACCAATTTTAATGTTCTATGGGGCTCTTCATTTGTGTAATGTAAGCAAGCATTTCAAAATGTTCGGATTCTTTTAGAATATACTTGTATGCTTGTTTGCACAGTTCTAATCTGTCCCATTATTGGTAGTCAGATGTCAGATGTGTTAGCTAACATATTTCCTCACTGTAAAGTTACTTTTCCTCTTACAATTTTATACTAAGTGTTTTCTAAATACTATATACTTTGTAAGATCTTAATCCTCATCAAACTTTAACCCACTAGTTTTAAGACCCATTGATAATTCTTGTCTGAATCAATTAACTGAGATCCAAGAGCCAAGTTTTTTTATTATTACTATACAAATTTTAGTAAGCATTATACCACAAAGGAAAATATTCTCTTCTTTCCATTTATTTGTATAGGTATGACTTATGTATTTAATTATCCAGTGAGATTCTATTTCACTTTAGAGGCTTTTATGAGGCTCAAATTAACCAAAATGTGGAAACCACCTCCTCCCCCAAGCTATCTCCTGAACCAATTTAACGTGTCCCCTCATCATCCTCTGCCTCAAGATACTCTCTCCAGTCCTGCCCTAGTTCGCCTGTTTCAGTTCTGAAGTTGGCCATTTTTCAAAGCACAAAGATCCTTTTTTTGTGACAGTAGTGTTTAGAAGTCAAAATCTGACTATTAAATATACTTAGTTGCTAAAGGAATTTTACTGCTCCCAGGTATGCCTTCCCAGTAAGCAGAGCTAAATTGTATGCGTATATGGTTTGTTTAAGTATGTACAATATATATACATATACACACATATATAAATAGTCCTATACTCTACATTCACAAGCATATTTATGTGTTTATGTATTTGTGTTTAAATGTGTTGTTTTTAGATCACGAGCTCATTAAGAGTGTTAAAAATACCATAAAATCTAATCTAACACCACAAGTTAATTTTAGTTTTCTCTCTTTCTTCTTTGTTTTCTTAAATATATTATTTACCATGATAGTGTTGTAGATGTAGGAGGTTATTCCCTCCCCTTCTCTTGCTTTCCCCTCTACCTGATATTATTCTCTGAATTATAGCAGTGTAGTCCCTTAGTAACAGTTACAAGGTTAACTTTTTGCTCTTTAGATTTATCATGACATGGTAGATATAACAGCCTTCGTCACTAGTGAGAAAATGTGCCCCTGTTATGTTCAGCTTGTTTACTTTGTTAAGTCAGACCCTTCTCTATTCACCACACTTTTTCTTTGAAAAAGTCCTACTCAGGGTGTTTGCATTCCAAGTGGGAACATACACTTGCCTCCCCCCAACCCTGGCCCTCCCACACATGCCCCAGCCCTGCACCCCTGTTACAGATGCTTGTCATACTTAGCCCGTCTGTTGGCCTTTACACTGAGTAATTCCAGCAGGAAGCAGTACCAGACCATAAAGATTTTTCCATGTGGAGACTCTTAAAATTCTGTATCTTTCCTGGTATAGTGTATTCATAGGTTATATTTTGGTTGTGACTTGGTCAGGGTATGTGTGTGTGTGTACATATGATTGGCTCAGCTTCAGCTGTTGCCATCACTTAGGCAGTGAGTCATCAGATGGAAAATCTTCCTGTCTCTCCTCCTCTCTCTTTCCCCTCTTACTTTGCAATAAAAATAAATTCTTTTAAAAAAAATTAAGCATGTTTCTTAGATTTTTACTTCAGCATCTGGGCAGATGATTAGTGCTTTTTACCAATGGAAAAGGGCAGTTCCACAGATGAGAAAATCCGTGTTTGATATTGGACATGAATTTTTCAACTTCATTAATGGAGATAGATAAAAATATATAGACAGTTACATTTTTTAAAATAATGCCTAGTGATGAATTGCATTTCTGTATTAGTGTGTAGCAAATTACACATTACTTAGTTCCTTCAGGAAACAATGAATGTTTTTTTATTGTATGTTCTGTGAGTCAAAATTTTAAAACCAATTTAGCCAGGTGGCTTAACCACAAGGTTTCCCTGAGGTTGTAACTTAGATGTTGATGAAGAATGCACTCAGCTGAAGGCTTGGAGGGGCTGCTTCCAGGTCAAGCCAGGAGCCCTCAGATCCTTACCACATAGGTTCCATAAGTCACACCCACCATCATCTCTGCTTTATTCTGTTTGTTAACATGAGTACTTTAGGTATTAACTCACATGCAAGAGAAGGGAAATTAGGCTTCATCTTTTGAAGAAAAGACTAAAAACTTGTGGGCATCTTTCTAAAGGCCCATAGACTATTAAAAAGAAGAAATAAAGGAAGCCTAAAGCCCATTAAGAATCAATTGTTACTACAGCTTATTCTTATGATTACTCTGGTATCAAAATGCTAGACTTGCACTTGTATTTCCAGGATTAAAATGCCAAATGGTGGGAGATACTCTTGCATACTCTGCATATTTGCCAAGCGCTGTTGAAGACAGTTCTCTAACAAGCCATCACAATATGCAGATATATTTATAGTTCATTGCACCTACTTGTCTCTCATCGTTTTGCTCATTAGGCTGGTATCAGTATCAAATATACTATTTTACTTTTTTATGCTCTTATCACAGGTGATTGCTTACAACTCCGAAGGTAAAAGCAATCCAAGTGAAATAGTGGAATTTACTACCTGCCCTGACAAGCCAGGAGTACCTGTAAAACCTTCAGTTAAAGGAAAGATACATTCACACAGTTTTAAAATAACTTGGGGTAAGATATTACAAGTATTTATACATGCTTTATAGTTGATTAAAATAATTTGAGTATGAAGTACTTTTTTAAGACATTTGAGTTCATTTCTTAGTCCAACTTAGTCTAATAAGGAATGTAGGAGTCATTCATTGTTGACTTTCACGTGAGGGGGTCGGAAGAGTAGAAGCTCTGTGGTCACATGCACTGAGTTCAGATCTGAGCTAATTCACGAGGAATGGGGAATCCACCTGTGAGACTGTATGCGTGGTGTAGCATCGTGAGAATGAAAGATTGCAGAACTTGGAGCCACTCACCTGGGTCATGCTGGCTCTCTGGAGAAGTGAAACTCAGCTGCTCATTACTGTTAAATAGGAAAACCAAGATCATATAAACCTGATCCTTGTCTGAAGAGTTCAAACTGATAAAAAAAGGCTTCACTGATACTTATAAGATATCTAAAAGTTTCGATCTTAAAATCTGAAGTGAATGAAATAATATTGTGCAGCCATTAAGAAGTGTTACAGAGAGCCAAATTTATAAACACTAAATAAGGTAGAGTTTTGTGGTTTGACAACAACATAGATTAGTGAAGTACTGCTGATATTAACAGTAAAGAATTCAGGACCAGCATTGTGGTATAACAGGAAAAACCACCACCCTCTAAGGGTACCAGAGTGAGTCCTGGCTGCTGCTCCAATCCAGCACCCTGCTAACCTCCTGGGAAGAGCAGATAAACCAAGTGTTCCGGCTGCTGCCACGCATGGGAGATCGGAATGATGCTCCTGGCTTCAGCCTGGCCGGTGCTAGTAAATGTGGCCATCTGGAGGATCTTTTGCTGTTTTTGTATATCCCCTTCTGTAGCTATAGCTTTCAAAGTAAGATAAACATTTAAAACTAATAAAGCCTTTAAATGATTTTTATAAACAACCTGTACTTTTTGAAATAAGACTGTCATTTCTTCATTGTATGTGTTTTTTCTAATACCATTTTGCTTCTTTGAGTAGATCCACCAAAAGACAATGGAGGGGCAGCCATCAATAAGTACGTTGTGGAGATGTCAGAAGGTCCTAATGGTAAGAACAGCTATTAAAGTTGAGTTTTTCCTGGTCAGTGTCTGCTCCTCATGACTAGCTTTTCTTTCCTCTTGCGTTTCATTTGCTGATATAAAAAGGTGTTTACTTCGCTTTGGGCTGTCTTTGATTTTTTTTTTTCCTTTGTGTAGCAGTTAAGCTTATGCCTGTCAGAATCCACTCTAAACTGTAATCTCCAGAAAAATAAGGAATCAAATGTAAGACTACTACTACATTTTCTTTTTTCACTACTGCGTTTACATCTTTTTCTTCCCCTTTGTTTGTTTACATTGCTTAGTCCCAGGATACCTATACTAAGTATTAGATTCTGTTAATTTATTCAGTTTATGTCCAGATATCAGAAGGAGTATCTCTTTTCTTTAAGATTTATTTTTATTGGCAAGACATATTTACAGAGAGAAGGAGAGAAAGGCGAAGAAAGATCATTTATCCGCTGGTTCACTTCCCAATTGGCTGTAACAGCCAGAGTTAAGCCAATCCAAAGCCAGGAGCCAGGAGCTTCTTTTGAGGCTCCAGGTCCCAACAACTTTGGGCCATCCTCCAGTGCTGTAGCAGACCGCAAGCAGGGGACTGGATCAGAAGTGGAGCAGCCAGGACACAGTCTGGTACCCATTTTGGATTCTGGCACTTGCTGGTAGAGTATTAGCCTGTTGAGCTATTGTTCCAGCCCAGAAAATTTTTCTTTTAATTCCAGTAGCTAATTTTAGTAATAAACTTAGTGATTAGTGATTTTTATTCTTGAATTGCACAATTAAATGGTTTTTATTTTTATGAAACAAGCTGTTTCCTACAAAAATTGAACTGTCTCTTTATTAAAGCTAAACTTCCAATGGTATTGGTTCTTTCTACTCTTTCCGTGTTATAACCTTATTACTGGACCAGCAAATACATTTAAAGTTCTTAATTAAAAGCAGATCATCAATGTAAGCCAAAGTCTATACAGAATTAGAGCAATTTCACTTTAACAAAGCCATGCAGATTTGCTTAGGAAGCTGCAAACATAAAATTAGATCATTTCCAGGAAACTTAAAACAGGCTTAATTGGTTCTGACAAATTACATAAACACTGATTTAGTGAAACCAGGATACCTGCTGTGTCCGTGAACCAGAGCGTTAAACATTACCTTGTAGCAGATTGAACACAATTCCTCACTTTACAGGAAACAAATGGGATATGATATACAGTGGCGCTACTAGGGAGCATCTTTGTGACCGACTGAATCCAGGCTGTTTCTATCGTTTACGAGTTTACTGCATCAGTGATGGAGGACAGAGTGCGGTAATACTTATAGAGATCTTTTTGTTTTTTTTTTTTTAAAGCTTGGTCACTTGAATGCAATCTCCAAAAGTTCCTTCAACTACTAAAAATGTATTCACAAATATATACAAGTAATTTCTATAACCTGGTAATTAATTTCATAATGCCCAGAGTATCTTACTATGGCACTTACAGTTTATATATTTAGTGAATATCTGTTTCTGATTAGCAATTAGCCCTGGAAACACAAAATGCAAAAACTGTGGAGAAAAACTTAATAAATTTTAAGGTGATGCTTATTAATAACCATACTAAACAGAGGAATAAAATAATTTTCAACTGATTTACTACACCATAAATAATGTGTTAGTACAAACTGTAAAACATACTTACTATTTAAAACAGGTTCTGATGTTCTAATATTTATGTATTTCACAAAATTTCGGCCACTATTTTATTATGAAAGACCCAGTTTGGACTTAATGCTATAGAGGTATGTTTTTAAAAGGAGTGATTTTTGTTTAGCGAATTTTTAAAAAGGATGATTTCTAGGAGCAATTATAATTATTTTTCAAATAGAATTTGGCACAGTACATGTATTCTTTTTAAAGACGAATTGTAATCATTTTGTTGAAAGTCTGCTTATTATGAAACTGAGTATGAATCCTGCCCAACAGGCTTTATGATCCAATTGCTTCAGTTTATCTGCTAAGAAGATCCCTGGACTTAAAAAAATAAATAATAAACATAATGCACACTCACAGTTCTGTTATCCTAATAATGCAGCATTGTAGCATTCTGATTTACCTAGGGTACTTTTTAAAATAACGTGATGACCAAGTATTTTGTTTATCCTTTAAAAGACTATTTAAAATGAATTGCCTAAGCATAAATTGAATATGAAATTTAAGCTTTAACATAACATAGGTAAGACTGTTACACTGAGTTTTTGTCAGTGTTTTCCAGAGAATGTCTTTTAAAATAAAACTTAAAAAAAAAAAAAACTTTTTACATTGCATAAAAACACAAAGCAATACCAACTATTTGGAAGGATGCCAAGTATGTGGATAAGCTCACATGATTTTAGAGTTAATTTTAGATAGAAAGAAGGGAAAGTCTTTTTTTAATGTACAAATTCGTATTTAGATTACAAACATATTATGTACAGTAAAGAGTGTAAACTTCCTAAAAGTATTTGCAGAATGTTAAAACATACCCCTTAGAAGAGATTTGTAGAATCAAGAATATTCTTTGTTAAAATGTGTGAGACAGGACGAGTTTTGTTTGTTCATTTGTTCATTTTTGTAATTATGGAAAGATAAAGGTTTGATGGGATTCTTTTCTGCTCATTTTCTTTGTGTTTAGTAGTCATATAGTCTTTATTTGTAAGAAATCTGAGTTTCAGCGATTTGAGTTGTGAATATATTTAGGACTTTATTCCTCGTACACAGAGTTTACTTTCAAGTTATTAATGCAGTGTTTGTGTCTGTATTGTTTTCCTTTTACTGAGATCCATCTGATTGGTTTGGGCCTTTTTGGTTTCCTTGTGCTTTTGTTTTGGCAGGTCTCTGAGTGTTTACTGGTGCAGACTCCAGCTGTGCCTCCAGGCCCCTGCCTCCCTCCCAGATTACAGGGTAGACCAAAAGCAAAAGAAATACAGTTACGATGGGGTAATTTTCCATTTTGAAAATAGATTACAATTAAACTTGTACTCAAAAGTATTCATCATGTTAAATTGCGCAAATGCTTCTGACCTTAGGACTCCCGCTGGTTGATGGTGGATCACCCATTTCCTGTTATAGTTTGGAAATGTCGCCTATAGAAAAAGATGAATCCAGAGAAGTTTACCAGGGTTCTGAATTGGAATGTACAGTGAGCAGCCTTCTTCCTGGAAAGACATATAGCTTCCGACTGCGTGCAGCTAACAAAATGGGGGTGAGGAGACCATGCCCACTGAATCATAATTTCAGCAATGTTCTGTTTTAACAAGTAGCATCACAACAGTCTTTGGCCATTTTAACCTGTAACTCCAAATGTTATAATTTTTAATAATCCTCTGTTAATGAGAGTCAGTATGTCCCACAACTTAATTGTTATGGAATCTCAGTATTTACAAACTCCATTTGGAATTTATGACACTTTGGACTTCTCTGGGCTAAAGTTTACATTTAATTCAGTGCCAGTAAGGTTTAAGATGAGAATTCAAATCATACTAATTATGGTTTTTGAGGCTGATTATATGCAGCATGTACTTTTTATTGGCAACTAATTGCAGTTAATATTTTATGTAAGGGAAGAAAACTATTTTAAACAGCCTTAAACTATTCTGGGTTTTTGTTGATTTTGTTTTTAAATATTGTTACATTCAGCTCCATAATGTGGACAAAATATGTGGTATCTATATTTTTTCAGCTGAGGAAGCAGGCTTGAAACAGCCTTGCCTTGAAGTTTCACAAACGTAGCCTGATAAGTCTCTTTCCCCAGATACTAGTGAACTATGCTATATTCCATATCTTGTTCTCCAGATGAGTTCTGTATTGTATCTGTAAGCTTGTTTTTTAAGTTTCTTAGATGCTTTGTTGGCAGTTCATAAATGAATCATCCCTTTTTGTATTTTCAGATTGTTATTTTGGATCCTTATGAATTTAAGACATAATTTGTATCTATCATCTCTCTTGCCTTTTGATTAATATTCTTTTCCTGAATCCTCACATAATTTTTTTAGTTATTCTACCTATTTAGTGCCCTGCCCTTTTTATAAAAATCAGTTAATAAAGCAATAAGGGGAGAGAGAATGAAAAATAATAAACTTACAAATCTCACTTTGATTGCTATGATTATTAAATATTTCTATAAATGCTTGAAATTATTACCAAATTAATCTTGAAAGATGGGGAAGATCTCATTTTTTCCAAAAACCTTTGTGGGAAATAGCATTGAAAGATAAGTTTGGAGGTAGGCTGAGAGCCCAAGTCTCACATGAGAGACCCACGTCCATCCCCTGGCTCTAGCTCCGGCTCCTTCGGCTTGCTGTTCATGTGGACCTGGAGCAGCCATAGCTCAGATAGTTGAGTTCCTACCCCCAGGTAGGAGACCTGCATTGCATCCCACCTCCCAACTTCAAGCCTTGCCCTGCCCAGCCCAGTGGAAGGCCGAAGCATTTGAGGATTGAACACACAGTTGGGAGCTCTCATATGTGTCTTTGCCTTTCAGATAAAAGGAATAAATAAAAGAAAACCACTGCTTTAAAAAAAATGAAGAGATAAGTTATTCTGATAAAAAAAATTTGAAACCATCCATGTCTTTTAGTGATACATTTTTCCCATGCACTTTTTGATGAGCACTCCCTACCCCCATTTACTTCACTAGTGAATCTTCCTAGAGTTCTGTTAATTCAGTGGACATTTAAAAGTGAAAATGGAAAAATTGATTACATTTATTTTTTTTCCAGTTTGGACCATTTTCAGAAAAATGTGATATTACTACAGCCCCTGGGCCACCAGATCAGTGCAAACCTCCTCACGTAACATGCAGATCTGCAACGTGTGCACAAGTCAACTGGGAGGTAGCTCATTTCCACTGATTTATGTTTATTTTCTTGTACAATTAGTGTAAATAAAATAACACAGTATTCATTTTTGCCTCTTATATAAAGTAGTAGTTTGGGATAAGTTTAAGAAAATTAATTCCTGGGCCCGGCGCGGTGGCGCAAGTGGTTAAGGTTAAGGTCCTCGCCTTGCATGCCCGGGATCCCATATGGGCGCCAGTTCTATCCGGCAGCCCCGCTTCCCTTCCAGCTCCCTGCCTGTGGCCCGGGAAAGCAGTTGAGGACGGCCCAAAGCTTTGGGACCCTGCACCCGCGTGGGAGACCCGGAAGAGGCTCCTGGCTTTGGATCGGCATAGCATCAGCTGTTGCAGTCACTTGGGGAGTGAATCATCGGACGGAAGATCTTCCTCTCTGTCTCTCCTCTCTGTATATCTGCCTTTCCAATAGAAAAATAATAATAATAAAAACAAATCTTAAAAAAAAAGAAAGAAAATGAATTCCTTTTCCTCTTTGCAGCATTTGAATCAGAGTATATTTGCCTTACAAGTATTTAGTTGCTTGTTCATGATATGCATTGTGTTTTAGCAGAGCTTTGTCTCAGTGTAGATATTTCAGCCACTGGTAAATTTAATGTCAGACCAAACATTCCTAAAAATCAATATAATACTATTTCTCTTACATTTATTTTCTTTAGTGTATTTACTGTGTATTATAATAATCAGTAATATAATTACATTTTTAGTTTCCTTTGGAATTTAGCAAAGAAAATGTCCTTGTATAGATTAACATTTTTTACTAAATGAAATTATTTTTAAATATATTTACCTTAAAATAGTCTTTCTAAAATGACTGTTAGTCATACTTTAATTTCGGAAGTTTTATTTTAGATCAATTAGTGACCAATATTTATTCATTAATTCAGACTTACTGCATAAAAATGTGAAAAAAGGAAAAGGGGGTTTTGATTATGCTTATGCTAAATATTTTAAAGAAATTCAAAAAAATCTAGTTTTCTTATGCATTCAAGTAAGTTACATTTTTGCCTCAAAGCTATTTATCAAGACTAAGAACTATCCTTTTCAATTTTAAGGTTCCTTTGAGTAATGGAACTGATGTCACTGAATACCGACTGGAATGGGGAGGAGTTGAAGGAAGTATGCAGATATGTTACTGTGGGCCTAGCCTCAGTTATGAATTAAAAGGACTTCTACCAGCAACTACCTATTACTGCAGAGTCCAGGTAGAAACTTGTCCACTTCCTGTCTCCAGAGGTTTTAATTTCATCAGCATGTTCATGGTCATGTCTTTATAAACTTGCAAACTGTTCATTTGCAGGCTCTGAGTGCTGTGGGCGCAGGTCCTTTCAGTGATGTAGTGGCCTGTGTAACTCCACCATCGGTTCCTGCCATTGTGACTTGTCTTCAGGAAATAAGTGATGATGATATCGAAGATCCCCATTACTCTCCTTCTACATGCCTTGCGATAAGCTGGGAAAAGCCTTGTGACCATGGTTCAGAAATCCTTGCCTACAGCATAGACTTCGGAGATAAACAGCCCTTGAGTGTGGGGAAGGTTACAAGCTATATTATAGACAATTTACAACCAGATACAACATACAGGTATGCTCTAAAAACTGTCAGTTTTTGCCTAGACCAGAGAGACACTTTAAACAGATAATCATAAACTAAACTTTTGTGTGTTTTGACCCTTAGAATACGAATTCAAGCCTTGAATAGCCTTGGAGCTGGTCCTTTCAGCCACATGATAAAGTTAAAAACTAAGCCCCTCCCTCCTGACCCACCTCGTCTGGAATGTGTTGCCTTTAACCACCAGAACCTTAAGCTGAAATGGGGAGAAGGAGCCCCAAAGACTTTGTCAACAGATTCTGTCCAGTACCACCTTCAGATGGAGGATAAGAATGGAAGGTAGGTGTTTTTAATTGCTTTTTTATATTAGGCATTTAGATTTCAAGTATGTACATTTTTATAAATTAGAGTAAGTAGTAAGATAGTTAAGCTATAAATCTGACTTTCCATTAAAAATAAATCTTGTAAAAAAGTTAAGAGTAAATCATTTTTAAAGCTTGTTCTTTTCAAAGCATCAGAAGGCACAGTATAAACTGCCCCTTTGTGATTTGTGAGAGTCATGCCAAGAAAAAAACTAAATGAGGTGTTCTTTAATTTTCTTCTCTAAATGTTTTACTGTCTTCATAAACCTAATCTAAGCTACCACACAACTCCTCAGTGGTTATTTCCAGCAGCACACAATTCCACAGTAACTGTGATCTGCTTGAGGGCAGGGGTTGTGTCTCGGCCTCCCCTACTTGCCTGATACATTGGCAGCACACTGCTATAGCCCAGCTCCTCAGGAGCTCTGACAGTAAACTGTCCAGGCTCTGTAATATTGTCCCTATTGTTCAGGGCCTTTCATATACATGTTACACTATTTCCTACATCCCATGCCAAATGCTGCCATAGTAATGGGTTCATACATTTGAATTACACTGTTTTTCAAAATATTCATATCATCAATTATGCATATACCAGTTTAGGGCTATTTGTTCACTTTATAACCTACATTTAAACTGCAATTTTCAGGTTTTTTTTTTCAACAATACAGTAACAGCTTTTTTTTTGTATAATTAAAATAGAAACTTCAGAGATTAAAAGGCAAAGTTTGTCCAATTCCTGCTTCTTATAAATACTAATAGTTTATGTCATTAGATAAGGTTTCATTTTTAACCAGACTATAGTTTTTACACTATTACTAATATATCAGTATTCATGATTCATTACCAAAAATTTCCATTGAAAACATCTCATCAAAAATGTTGGGGAAAATTCAACTTACTGGGAGCATGCTAGGAGAAATGTATGGAAATATTCCAAAATCTATGGAAAATAGAATTATTAGTTTTTGTTGCAAAACTTTTTCATATTATGTGGAAAATATGTATTACAACAAAATTATGCATGGGTTTCAAAAACTTTTTGTACCAGAATAAACGCATGCTTTTAATTATATTTTTCCATGAAATATTTGAAATATCTGTGAAATAATCCAAATACAAAATTTTTTGGAAATATATTCTCTCATCATACCATGTAAATCACAGAAATCTTCTGTACTACTATGGGACAGTGGTCTTTCTATGTTTCCTTGTTGAACATTATGGTTAATGGTGCATTAAGCCTGTAATTATGAAGTAAATTGAGAATATGTTGTTGCAGAAATTAGGGGAAAAGGAAAGAAGGAAGGATTTGTTGGTTTAGGAGAGAGAGTTGGCTATTGTGTTATTTTTCTTTATGTTAATAAAAAATTTAAAAATAGATAAAACTCTACTTAGGAATTAGGAATTCTCTTTTTTCTAGGCAAAGACAAACAAGATGAAGATAAACACAATCTTGTAGCTCAGGTCCATGTTACCAACGATAAACTCTATGAACTCGACTTCAGTTAGAAGCAATTCATAATGACAATGTTGTTATTCTGAGTTTATTTTGAAATGTCTACATTCAGAGTCAGCAGTAAGAATCAAAGTAGTACAATAAGCTAGGAAGAAGCAGTTATGGGTGATTGCACATGAAATTCAACAACATACTTTCAAGCAAATCATGTACAATTGAGAAACTTACCAATTCATTTGAAAAACATAAAGATGTGTCTGGAGTACAAACCATTCCTGTTGTGAAATCAGTTGTACTATGTAAGTACTTTTTTGTAAGGTAATCTAAGGCTGATTTAATAAAAGCATTTTCCATTTTAGGTTTGTGTCCTTGTACAGAGGACCGTGTCATACATATAAAGTACAAAGACTGAATGAGTCAACATCATACAAATTCTGTATCCAAGCGTGCAATGAAGCCGGGGAAGGACCCCTCTCCCAAGAATATATTTTCACTACTCCAAAATCTGTCCCAGCTGCCCTAAAAGGTAAGTAATGCAGCCTACATTTATTTTCTCTGCTAATAAATACATTTTCAAAAGTATATTTTTACTATCAGTAAAAGCACCTAGTATGTATCCTGTAGTTATATTATAAAAAAGTACATAAGCAGGCTCACCCTGCTAGGAGTTTAAAAAGCACATTCATACTCAGGTAAGAACCAGTTTTAATTACTGATCTTTTTTTTTTTAATTATTTTTATTACAAAGTCAGATATACAGACAGGAGGAGAGATAGAGAGGAAGATCTTCCCTCCAATGATTCACTCCCCAAGTGAGTACAACAGCCGATGCTGTGCTGATCCAAAGCCAGGAGTCAGGAACTTCTTCCAGGTCTCCCACACGGGTGCAGGGTCCCAAGGCTTTGGGCCGTCCTCGACTGCTCTCCCAGGCCACAGCAGGGAGCTGGATGGGAAGCGGAGCCGCTGGGATTAGAACCAGCGCCCATATGGGATCCCGGGCGCATTCAAGGCGAGGACTCTAGCCACTAGGCCATGCTGCCGGGCCCAATTACTGATCTTTTTAACAAGGAATGTAAAAGTACTACATTGAACAGACTGGTTTTCTAATAACATTATTTACTGTTTCTGGTATCATTTTCCTCCTTCCCCCTGATATTATTTCTTGAAAAAAAATCATAGTTTGATCATTTAAATGTTTATTTTTAATATTTATTTATTTTACTTGAAAGTGAGAATTACAGAAAGAGAGGGAAAGGGGGAGAGAAAGAGAGATCTACCATTAGCTGATCCACTCTCCACATGGCCACAGTGGCCGGAGCTGAGCCAGTCTGAAGCTGGGAGCCAGGGAGCCATTTCTGCTGCTTTGCTAGGCCAGTGACAGGGAGCATCCAGAACTCAAACTGGCACTCTCATGGGTTGCTAGCACTGCAAATTGAGGGTTGGCTTACTATGCCACAGTGCTAGCTCCTAAATGTTTTAAGTCATTAGTCTCAATTCATTTGGATTTAAGGGGGAGCATCAGGTGATCTGGTAAATGAAGCAAATAGGGTCTTTAGATTTTTCAGACAGATCTATACATAAGCATGCATATATGTACGTGCATTATGTGCATATACATTTTTTAATTCATTTCAGAGTTCTTATTTTAGAACTATGCTGGCAAGGACTGCAGTTTGACATTTAGCCAATAATTTCATTGTGTTCTAAGAACTAATCACAGAGGCTTGTAGTACAGTATCATGATTCAGGTGTTTGAATGCATTATTTGTTTGGAAGATTCATAGAACTAAGGACTGTACTTCAGTAGTCTTTCGAATATTGTTGATGTTTCACTGAGTTGCTTTTGTGTTCCCTCAGCTGGCTTCATGTTTCTTAACAAAGAAACATATACTGTTGATTTTTGATTAAGGCAACTGTTGTTGTGATATACCAAATTAAAACTCCAGTGAGACAGATTTTGTTTGTATTTGTTCTTCCAGCCCCCAAAATAGAGAAAATAAATGATCACGTTTGTGAGATTACATGGGAGTGTTTACAGCCAATGAAAGGTGATCCAGTTATTTATAGTCTTCAAGTTATGATGGGAAAAGATTCAGAATTCAAACAGGTATGTGCAAAAATATAATACTGTAGATACAGATTTTTATGTTTCTTGCATTTTTTAATGTATTTTCAGTGCAGGATTTAGAGATCTTTGCCTAATTCAAAAACATTTGTTCAGTATACACCATATCCCAAAGAACTCAGGATTCAAAATCTTTTGGGCGTGGACTACATTTGACCAAATTATGTATTCATTTGCCAGGTACTCATGGAGCTTTGTGCCAGGCCTGTGGTATAGAGCCCTGGACAAAATGCCCTCACGTCCATGCAGCTTGCATTGCAGAGGGAAAGACATTGAAAACAGATAGGTCACTGTGAAATATTTCCAATAGTTGCAAGTGCAACAGAAAGAAAATAAAATTGGGTAAAAAGAGAAAAGGAAGCACTGGAAAAGAAGTGCCCAAAGGACATCAGCATGGGGAGAAGAGAGATCCAAGCACAGCCCTCGGACAGCAGCATGCCTCTGTAGTTTATAGCAGTAAGGCCAGTATGCCAGGGCTGGAGGAGATGAGAGCAATCATTGGTGATATCAGGTATTAACAGTAAGGGAGATCATGTAGAGCATGCTAGAGTATAATGTGACTTCTAACCTTGGGAAATGAGAAGCCAAAGAAGACTTTGGCCAGGATGCAAGGTCACTTTGACTATAGAATGAAACTAGAATGGGTCAAAGGCAGAGCCAATGAGACAGCTAAGGAAGCTTCTACAGTAATAATAATCATCATAATACAGTGCTTGAATGTGTCAGTAGACATGATTATTGTGAAAGCCTAAAAGATGTATCACTTTCCTAGTAGAGAAATCTCAAAGTTAACTGTCTGGCAGCGGATGCATAACAGTCAGATGGAGAGGGGAGTTAACAGTGTTCATTAAAACTTTAAAAACATGATTTTTGGTGGGCAAGCCTGATGTGTAGCACCATTGCATCCAATTTTTTTCCTTTTCTTCTATTAGCCTTCTTGAATATGTGGGCTTTTAAGCTGGGTTGTTCTGTTATAGCTTAAATACTTGTTTTATTATAATGGTTTTAGTAGAGATATAGCTTTTTCTTAATAGAATGATTTTAGTTTATTTTTTTATTAAGTATGGAAATGTGGCGTCTTTATTGAAACTAAAAAGGCCCAAAGAGATTAAATCTGGCATGTGATTGTTTTTCTTTATTAACCTATCTGCAAATTGACATGATAATTAGATTTGGAATATAATTTACAGATAAGCAGGTTTCCTTCCAAGGAGGAAGCAAAATTAACATTAAAGAAGATGTAATTGTATTTTGTTTAAAGGAAATATGGGCCCCACATTTGAGTAGTCTATGAATTTTAATAAGTTTATGTCACTATACAAAATAGCAATACTAATTCTCCTTTCAACTTAAAAGCTAGATTAACCCTATCACCACTTGAATGTTAGATTATAAACAATGCTATAAAATAATGTTTTCCTTAGAACTTATACGGCTGCTCATCTAAAGCACTTCAATATTTTTTAAAACTTTACAGCTTACAGCTTTGAAACTGGGCAAGGGCAGATGACACCCCAGTTCAGGAAAGGGAGTGAACTTGCCCTTTATCTACTTCATTGCCTTACCCAAACTCTAAACAGACTAGATCATGCACACCCACATTAGTGGAAGACCATCTTGTTTACTCAGTCTACTGAATCAGATGCCTGTCTATCCCAGAAACACACCTCAAGGGAATGTTTCACCAGCTCTCTGAGTGCCCTTTAGTCCTGTCAAGTTGACTCATAAAGTAAACCACCAAGCCTGTACCAAGGCCCATGGGATTCTGTGTAATGTCTTCCTTTCTTAAACTCCTGAACTCAGATTCTCAAGCCAAGTGTTCTTCAGAAAACCTGACACCTGAGTCTGGCAGTTGGACCACAGTTACTGTCTGGCTCTTGGTTTGTTTAACTCGCAAGTGTTTCTTAACCACACTTAAATTTAAGACTGCTCTAAAAGCTCTCTTGTTTATAGTAACAATAGAAGGGGAAACAGTAGAGACAAGAACTTAAATGGCTTTTTGTATTTTTTTATTGTGATTGTTTTTTTCTTCATGAATTGTTCACTGCAGAAAAATTATTCACAATACAATGTCCATAAATTACACAAGGATCACACATGACCTTATGTGCCAAATTATATGACAGCATTTGCCTTATTACTCATAGTAATTTATTTTTAGTGTAATCAAATATATAATATTCCTTAAGAAAAGTTTAAATTAAATCTATACTCAGTCCAAATACAGTGTGCTAAAAATCATTGTTTTATAAGGAGATTTCAAAGTTTGTAGAAAAGTAAGTTTATTTTAGTGCAAAATAATGTGACATCTATACCTGCTTTTTTTCACAATATGTGTTTTCCGTCAATTCAGAAACCTCTTGATTTGAACAACTTAAAGCCATATGAGCTGTGCATATTATTTACTGTAATAATAGTTAATCTGTTATTCTCAACCAAGTTTGCATTAATATTGGCCTCACCCTATCTATAAATAAGTAATGGATTTGTAACAAAAGTTAAGGGGCTATTTGATTTTGGTTATACACAATGGTATCTGTAACCCACAGGTGAAGGCACAAAGATTATAAATTTAGAATTTTTCTTGTTATTGCTAATGCCATATGTGCAACAGGATGAAAGTAAAAGTGGCGTTCATCTTAATTCTTATTTTGCATTCTAACACTTAACCTAGCTCATCTCAAGCTTAAAGTAATTTGAATAATTTCATATACATATGGGTGTGTGTGTATATACCTTCTTAAATTAGCTCTACCAAATTAATTTCTTTCTCCATTCCAAGTCTGCAGCTGCCTGTAAGATGTGTACCTCTTCAGAGAGACCTCCCCAACATCTAAAAACTTGATCTCCTTCCCTACCAGTCTCCTTTCTTTTTCTTCATCATTTTCTTGGGCCCCAAGATCTCAGTTGCGAAGATGTAAATTCCTGGAAGAATTGTTTTTCACAGAAACTCTTCAAAATTATTTCTGGATCTGCCATATACTTGCATATACTTCCAACCCTCACCCAGCCCTATAATCAGGATTGCTTAAACTCTGTTTGAAATGTCACATGCTAAGAGGCCCCTTTTTAATTAAAAAAAAAAATCTTGAGCTTTCCCAACACCTGTGTATTCTTCCTCTCTTTGCCATCCTCCTGCCATTTGTTGAGGCTTTTCCCTGTTATATTACATGCTTATTTGGAGACATAGAAAAAATAAAGATTAATAACAACAGTTAAACTCACTTTATCCACAAGACAAATCTGTAGTTTTTACTAAGTTGACTTCATTGTATGAATATAGTTTTACACTGCTTTCTAAAACAACTTTTCAGTTTGTTAATCCTTTTTTATTTCCCACTCTTCATTTCCATACCCTGAAACATTTATCTGCATCCTCAGAACTAATGAACATTTACCATTTTCCTTACGATTCATCACAAGGTTTACTTTCTTCAGTAAAGTTTCCCATATGTATTTTGCCAGTATCTACATTTTCACTTGATAGTCAAGAGTTCACTAATTTATTAGCCTTTTTTTAGTACCTTATTCTACTTGTATACTAGATTTGGGAAACAGAAAAAATGAGATTGAGATCTGAGATCTTTGTGCTGCTTGTGTGGGTGCAAACCAAAATGTAAAAATGTAGATTTATAACCCAGACATAATTGAGGTAGCTAAAGAAGAGTGCTAAAACCATAGTAATGCTTGGTGTGACTTGCAGCCTACCAACTAACAAGGAATCCAGTTGGAAAGTCACTTATCTGTGAGAGCCTTGGTTTTCTTTGTTAGAGTACAAGGAATGAGAGTCATTTAAAGAAACAACAGCATCCACAGTGCAGGGCACTGTGCTAAGTGCTTTAACAAGGAGTGTTAGTTCATCTCATCCCGAAAATAACCATACAAATTAGTTACTGGGTTTTTTTTTAAGATTTATTTATTTTTATTGGAAAGGCAGATTTACAAAGAGAAGGAGATACAAGGAGAAAAATCTTCCATCCATTAGTTTATTCCCCCAAGTGGCATCAAAGGCAGGAGCTGAGCTGATCCAAGGCCAAGAGCTTCTTCTAGGTCTCCCACTCAGGCACAACTTTGGGCTATCCTCTACTGCTTTTGCAGGCTACAGGCAGGGAGCTGGATGAGAAGTGGAGCAGCCAGTACACAAACTGGTACCCATATGGGATCCCAGCAGTTGCAAGGCAAGGATTTAGCCACTAAGCCACCTTGCCAGGCCCATCAGTTACTGTCAATACCTGCTGCTCTAAAGTGAATGCCTAAAACTCAGATAGTTGAAGTGGTGGGACAGAACTTTGACCTCAGGCTGCCCAGTTCTAGATTATGTGTACCTTAAAAGAAAGGAAGTGTATCTATTTCTCTCAAAAAGAGATTGACACAGAGGGGAAGAAGCAGAGAGGTTTTTCAGCGGTTCTCTCACTCCCCAAGTGGCGACAAGTGACTAGTTCCAGCCAAAGTCAGAAGCTTGGAAGTTGATCCAGGTCTCCTACATGGGTGGCAGGTAGCACTTGGCCATCCTCCTTTACTTTCTCAGGTACGTTATCAGGGAGCTGGATCAGAAGCAGAGCAGCAGGAACCTGAACTGGCACTGCTGATGTCACAAGGTATACAGCCTAACCTACTGTGCCAGCCCCCCCTTATATCCTCTTAACCAGTACTTTCCCTTGGAAATTCATGCTATTCCATTCTTTTTATTCCCTTAAGACCTAGCAGAGAAACTAGCTTTTCAGATCCTATTGTAGATTTCTGAAGGATAACTTCTTTGAAATTTGTAAAATGATCTGTAATAGACAGTGCTAGAAGACTCCCATATTCATTGGTTTCAGTCAACAGAAATGTTTGAAATGGTATGGAAAATTATCAGCAAAGCAAATATGTTTTGGAGGGGGTAAGATTAAACACCGTCTCTCAGCTCATGGAATGATTTCACCCAAAAACAAAACAAACAAACAAAAAACACTTAGGTTTGAGGGAAATGCCTGAAAGCCAGCTTGCTGCTGCTGTTGTTTAGAGTGCATCATCTCTTTTCAGTCTGTCTGTACCTTCTGCGAGGAGAGATCTCACAGCCTTGCTTCCCTAATTTCTCTCTTGGCCTTCTGCAGCAGACACTTGAGGACATTAGTGGATAAGTATTTTTTAATCATCATTTGGAAGATAAAACAAATGGTTTTCAGTAGCTTCTCAACCTCCTATTATCACTCATTAAAATATGTTAATTTCCCATCTCCCTGCCTCCTGTTACTTTATGAACAGATTTACAAAGGCCCCGAGTCATCTTTCCGGTATGCCAGCCTCCAGCTCAACTGTGAATATCGCTTCCGCGTGTGCGCCATTCGCCAGTGCCAAGACCCTGCAGGGCACCAGGACCTTGTCGGCCCCTACAGTACCACCGTGCTCTTCATGTCTCAGAGGACTGAGCCACCTGCTAGCACCCCCAGGGACTCTGTGGAGAGTACCAGGAGCCAGCGGGCGCTCAGCGACGAGCAGTGTGCCGCGGTCATCCTGGCACTGTTCGCGATCTTTTCCATCCTGATTGCCTTTATCATTCAGTACTTTGTAATCAAGTGAAAATATAACTTTATTTTTTAACACTGTATTACATTTTATTTTGTCATATACTAAAATTATTTCTGTGTTGCTTTTACAAAAACAGTGGCATTTAGCACTGGCATTGAGACTACAGCACATCGTTTTTGTCATTTTCAGTGCTTATATTGTTAGATAGAGGCTGGCACTTTATTACAAGACAAGCCAGAGAAATATCAGTTATGGGATGGGGGGTTTTTTTTGTGTTTTTATTTGGGGTTTTTTTTTTCCCATTTTTATTTCCTTTTTTTTTTTTTTTTTTTTTTTTTACTGACATGCTTCCCATAGAACAAACTTTGTAAGAGGCAACAATTTATAATTGATATTTTGACCAATCTGCGTGAGTGTAATAGTAATAACCTGATCTATTTGTTTTGAAGATTACCAAGTGAAAAATTGGGAATGGATAGAATTTACACTAAATGCTATATGAAAACGTTCCAGTCTGATGCTGTGAAAGCAATCTAGTGCTATATTTCTACCTCCTCATTTGTCTTAATTATTTGGTAAATGGGATTATGATGAATAACTGGAGGGGCTTAGCAGACAAAAACTGGATGAAAGGATATGCATGAAAAAAGAAACTTCTGTTTGATAAGTGTGGAGTTCTTCACGACAAGTAAAGCTACATGAGGCTGCAGATGAGTCACCTAGGAAAGCACAGGCATTGAACTTGGCCTAAAAATATTTTAATGTTTACTCAAAAAGTACCTCTTCTTGGAATATGGAAAAGAACAGAAGGCTTTTAGATACGTTTTGTTTTAAAGTAATAAAAATCAATTCTGAATTTCAAACCTAATTATTTGTTTTAGGAGCCTTTAAGCTATATGTAGATGTATACAACGTTCTACAACGGTATACACCTACATATAACTTATATAGATTAAACATATCCGGTGTAAGAATACAGATACACACTGAGTCCCTTCTATTTGCTACAAGTTAATTTTTGGAGAACTCCCCTCAAAGTTTTGCTGCTTCTCCCATTAACTACTGCCATCACCATCAGAATTCATAATCAGGCCTAACTTTTTTGTTTGGGGCACCAAATCAAAAGACAAAATTAATTTGCACCAGTAAACTTCAGGCTGCTTTCTTTCTGGAAAAACTAATATTTAATGTATAATGTCTGTTTGGATACTGTTCCAAATTGTTGATTGCATGTGGTTAATGTTGCATTAGAGCACTTTGCAATTGCATAATTCATTAATGTTCTGTGAGCTTGTGTTTGTGAGTTATTGGATGATCATTCTGAATTTTGTCAAGTATCCCATTGTACATCTTGCCTAGACGTCAATGATAATACAGTTGTAATGAAACTCTCTGAATTCCTTGTTTCATCACATGTTATCTGTAAAACACCTGTAACTAGCTTCTTAATTTATTATTTGAATTTTAGGATAGTGCATCACTAACTTTTAGTTGCTGATGTTAGCATTTTAGTGATTACTAAGCACTTCTGTCAGTCTTTGATAAAGGAACGTATGTTTTGTGCTTTGAAGATCGCTGAAGAATTTCCCTTATAATAGAATGGGCATGTATTGTAAATGTTTAATATCAAATGATCTGTGCTGTAGAGAAAACATTAACCTTTGTTCAAAAAAGAAACGGATAAACTTGGCCTTTCCGAGTGGTAAGAATGATCTGTCACTATAATATACTGTATGTTTACATTTTATTTAATCTGTTATGTATAGGGTGATAATCTTTCCCCAACAAAACAGTGATTGCGATTGTTTTCTAGAAACTTCTTAAAAGTGCCACATTTGGCAGTACAAATGAGTTTGAGTGTAATAGCCCAGAGATTTCTATATAGTTGAATGTCTAAAATGGTAAAATGTACCACTGTGGCAAGTTGCAGTGGCTTATGTTTTTCATAGTAATTCAAATGAATTCCTATTTTTGATAGTAAATGTCATTTAATAGTATACTTGCCATTTGAGCCTCACTGCAAAATTAGTGCAGAGGAGAAAACAATTTTTAATGTAATCTTGATTTTACCTCATATACTGTACATTCCAAAAACTCTAAACTTTTTAAAGATTATAGATACACTACCAAACATATCATCTTAAAATTGTAAAAGGTTGAGCTTCATACAAATGAAATATAATCTCATAAAAATAAGTAAACTATGTAGCAAAGGTATCTTTAAAATCCATGGAAAATAAAAGTTGTATCATTCTTTTTTGAGATATGTTTATTGCATTCATATACATTCATTATTTGCAGCCTATTCAAGAAAATGAATCGTTAAGTTCTCCCCTCTTGCAATGAGCTTCAGGCACTTTATATCCAATAGTATTCAAATCTTCAATGCTAGAGGACCAGTACTCTTCACACAGACAAATCAAGTGACTAAAGAAAGAAATTAGAAGTTTCATCCTGGGGACTTGGTTTTCAGGTAAACTTCCCCTCACCTTTCCTTATGTTCCTTAGCTATTTCCTGTCACCTCCTTTCTGCTGCCTCCAGGGCCCCAGAACCTTCCTGTTATTGGCACTGATTGATCTGCTTTCCAACTACCCAAAGTTTGACATCCCATCTCACTGGTCCCCTGCGTAACGTTCACCCCTCCTGGGGAGTCAGCCCTAACTGCCTCAATTGCAGGTACTGCAGTAAGCTTTTTTTTTTTTTTTTTTTTAAATTATTTTGCTATTTTTATGGTAAAGTCAGATTTTATAGAGAGAAAGACAGAAAGATCTTTTGTCTGCTGGTTCACTCCCCAAGTGGCCACAAAAACCAGAGCTGAGCTGATCCGCAGCGAGGAGCTTCTTCCAGGTGTCCCACGTAGACAGGGTCCCAAAGACTTAGGCCATCCTCTACAGCTGTCCCAGGCCAGAAGCAGGGAACTGGAAATAAAGTGGAACAGCCAGGACACAAATTGGCACCCACAGGAGATTGCAGCACCTGCATGAGGACTTTAGCCACTAGGCTGCTGCACCAGGCCCTACTGCTGCACCTGGCCCTGCACTAAGCTTTAAAATGTTAGGTCAGTGGGAAAATATTCTGAGTGTAGAAGCATCTCTCCACAGAAACAGCAGGTGTGAGTCCAGGCCCAACAAGGACAGAACTATACGTTGTATCACCCTTATTTTCCCTGGAGGTGGGAGATACGAGTTTTACACATCATGGTAGCCCATCCCCTCAGTAGGTTTCCTTCTCTGTCTTTGTAGGAAGGACCGTGTGTGTCTAGGTTAAAGAGACAACACATAAGCAGGGATTCTATAACCTAGCCCCTCCTTTTAAGATTATGTATCTGCCCCCTAAAATGATCCCTCTTATTTAATTCATCATTTTCTCTCTTCTCCTACAGGAAATGGGTTAAGGAGTAAAGAATTGACAAAAGACCTAAAACATCTGGTCACCTAATCCTCAACAGCTACACCTTCAAACACACCAATGCTATAATGGCTCCATTTCATCTCATGTAAAAAGATGGTGTCGCCGTTTCCAGTGGAAGTTTGCCAAGAGAAAAGGGTTTCAAAATGGCAGATTTTGAAGCTATGTAACCCACCAAGTTGCTGGCTAGTTTCCTATTTTCCTTTATGAGTCCTGCAGATGGTGTTAAGGGTTTTACCTTGGTCACCTCATATAATCCTCAAATGAAAAGTTGAACTGCACTACAGAGAAATCAACACAGCTATCACATGGCTGGCAACAATGGAGCCAGGGTTGGTATCTAGCAGATGAGTCCAAAGTGCCCACCTTTGACTGCAAAGTCGTGAATCCTAAGGAAATCAAAAGTATGATTAATTGACGTTAATATGGCATTTATGAAAGCATCTGTTGATGACAGGCATTGCCCTAAATCCTAATGTCCACACAACTCACACACAACCTTTAAAAGTTGAACAGAAGTAATATTGACTCAAGGACAGGAGACTTAGAAGCCCTGATTTTCTCTTGAATTTTACTACCGTGAGCCCACATCCAGGCCCAGAGGTAATCCATGTTGAATACTCATCCAGAGATGGAGGTACTTTGTTGCTCTTTACTACAAATGATAGAAGCTAGGGTGTTCAAGTACTTAACACAACTAAATGTGGACAATTTTGCAACATTCCAGACCCACAAAGTCATAAATTGTATGACTCCATTACTCACAATTACAGGTTTCTAGAACGTAAGCTGGAAGACATTTCCCTATAGTAGAATCTGGCTCATAGCTAGCACTTTCTCTAGCTGATGATGCTATGGTACAAACAGCAAGAAGCCACACTATAATAGTTAGCCTCCTTGACTCAAAGTGGACAGGTTTCTCATGGGTTGCCCTACTCAACTAGGGCAACTTTTCTGTACTTTGGTCTTTTCATGCATGACAGCATGACATGCAGATACTAAGAGGATTCCCTGTCTCCTCCCCCCCCACACACACACCCCGCACTCAACAGTGCTGTAGTTCAGGATTAAATGAGTTAAGATATGCACCTTGCACATAGCAGGAGCTAGCTATGTTTTTATCCAGGACATCCAGCCTGCCAAAAACCACTGCTGAGCCCCCAACTAAAAGTCAAGAACCTATTGATACACCTGCCTGTTGCTTCCAAGGGCACATAGCTATACCCACAGAAGTATCAGGGACTTGTAGGACAAAAAAAAAAAAGCTGTCCATATTCCCGGTCTACTAGAAAAGTTCATCAAATGAACTATCAAGTCAGGAAGCTGAAGACTATAAAAATGCAAAGTAGAAAATAGCTTGGTCAGAGCTGCAGGGAGCTAGTTGCAATTTATTCCTAAAATGTGATTCCAAACTATTATAATGAGTAAAGGCAAAGTCATGCTTGAGCTTGAGTGCATTAATGTTTTGAAGAAAGGCCCACACCATGAATCCATCATCTCTCCATCTCCTCTATCTTGAAAAGAATGGTCCATGAATACTTGCTGGGCACCATTACAGTCAGACTTCTGCTCTCCACTGCTGGTCCATGATTCTGCAGAGACATAGTCATTCTCTGAGTTAACAAATATTTATTGTGTTTCTTGCTTTGTACCAGGTACTGATCCAGGAATTAGGGAAAGCACGATGAGTACACTGAAAAACGCCCTGCCTTCTGGCGCACAATGCCTGGAGGTGGGAAGAGCTAATAAACTAATAGCTAAGTAAATTCAATAGTCTGCCAGTTGATAACGCACTATTGAAAGAAAAATACAACAGATGGAAGGTGATCCAAAACAATGAGAGACGTGAACAGTATGGCGGGGTGGGTGTTTAGAAACCCAGGTAGCCTATATCGTGGCCACCATGGTACATGGGAAAGGAGTAAGGAAGCATCCAGAACAGGCTGAAGAGACCATTGGGACTTGGATCAGCATGGACAGGAGGAGGGAGAATCATGGATGCGCAGCCTGTGAGTGCCAAAAAGAGCATGAAGGTGCTCTCCAGAGCACTGGCCAAGCCAAAGGGACCAGACTTTGAGTAGACACAGATAGCTACCTCCAAGCCGGGCACAACAGGAAGGAAGGGGATAGAAAACTAGACTTCCGCCAACTGTGCCAGCCCTAGCACCCCACAAAACCAGCATGAAATATGGTATTCATCTCCCAGCTTCATAAGAACATTGAAGCTACCTACTCCCAGCCTGCCACTATCCACCTGGGCCAGCCTAGAGAAAGAGACATTGTCCAAGAAGATTGGAGTGTCTGACCTATTAGTCAAATGGGACTGTGCTTTCCTCAGGCCACACCATTCATTCTCTCTTGATGCCCAACAACTGACAGCTCAGTGGAAGATCAAATTGATCATAGAGGAAGAGCTGATATTTTCTTCTGCCTAAGCATGAAACAGGGACAAGTGGAACAATGCATACAGAAACTCTGAAGCAAGAAACGCTCCAGAGGAAAGAGAATCAGATGCAGGTGTGCAAGACACAGATTTCATGCTGTGCTTCCCTTAAAGAGGCGGATGGCATGCCCCCCACGGGAGAGTCACTGCATCGTTCCCAGCCAAGGCAGGCAAGGCAGGTGAGGTGGCATAGGAGTTCTTTCAAGTGCTCCAACTTTGTAGAGAAAGCACATGGGGATCACCAAGGAGAGCTTAATGAGAAGGCATGAAAGCATAGTGTAGAAGGTGAGGCAGTTGGGTGCAGGGACTGCCAGGAAACAAAGCTCCCAGCCAAAGGGCCACAGTGGCTCAGCCCACCCAACACAGGGCTCCTGTGGCTGGCTGGGGCAAGGGCTGGAGAGCTTGGGGCCTGGTGAAGTCGGGACTCAAAGCTGGCTTTCAGGAGGATGGGTGGAAAGAGTGATGAGTGAGGGACCATGGGCCTTTCTGCTCCAGCTGGGGACACAGTGCTGCGACAAAGCCTTGTTTCAGGCCCTAAGAAAAAACCTGGAAGACAACAGCTTGCTCTGTGTTCACCCACGAGTTAAGGTGGCTGAGGGAACAGGACCCTGTGTGTGCATGAGAAGAAACACAGGAATTGCTGAGGGATAGAACAAAAAAGCCCCTTGCCAAGGACCCTCTTCAGCACCCACCAAAAATGGAATCAGGCTTCTTGCACAAGAATCCAGCTGTGTGAAATACAGTAGTTCCAAGCATGCTAGCAAAGTCTAAGGAAGGACAGTGTACCTGACCAGCCAGTTGGCTGTCCCCTTAAAGGACTCAGAGCCCAGCCCACACTCAGCTTGGAGTTTCTCTGGATTTTGGCTCTGGGCCACCTTTCTCCTCCTACACCCCATGTGGGACACGGCAGACAGCCGGGGGATCTTTCTGGGAATGAACTCCCTCCTGTAACTTCAGAACAGTCGCCTTGGTGAAGAGCAGGTAAGATTCCCGTAAGCTGTCCATCCTCTGGTTCACTCCCCCAAATGGCTGCAACAGCTGGAGCTGAGCCAATCTGAAGCCAGGAGCCAGGAGCCAGGAGCCTCCTTTGGGTCTTCCACGCAGGTGCAGGGTCCCAAGGCTTTGGGCCATCCTCTGCTGCTTCCCAGGCTATAAGCAGGGAGCTGGATGGGAAGTGGAGCAGCTGGGGCTCAATCCCATGCCCATATGGGATGCTAATACGGAAGGTGAAGGACTTGGGATTTGGCCTGCTACACCACTGTGTGGACGCCCGTTCCCTCTACCCCCTCGCCCCCTGTTTGGTTATTTTTTTTTTAAGCTAATAAAACCACATTCTTAAACAGCACGTAGGACAGTACTCAAGAGAACATGTAAATATATGCCAGTAGTTAAGCCTTGTTTCTTGGAACAAGTCAACGTGCTCAGCATCGCTGTGGATTTCAGGAATCTCTGAAGTTACCGAGTCAACAATATGGTCCCTTTCCCCACAACACCACGCAGATTTACCCCAGCGGGGCGAGAACAGGATTGATCTCCAAGTCACACAGCCCCTAAAAGGACGGGGCATGCAGCCAGGAGGACCTCTTAATTTCCACCTGCACACCTCTCAAACCCGGCGTGTCGGGCCCAGGTACCAACCTCTGCCACCCAGAAATCACACCCAGGAACCCGCAGGATTCGCGCACCGCTGCCACCGGGTGTCCCCGCGGCTGGCAAATGGAGCGCCCCTCGAAGACCAACGGGGACGGGGTAGGGTGCGTGGTGGGGCCGGGCGTGGCCGACCAAGGCCGGCAGGGGGGCGGAGACTGCGCACCCGGAGCCTCGGGGAACAGACCCTGGCGGAACAGTGTTGCACCCGGGCGCCGCAAGTGTGGTCGACGCGGTGTTCCCGGTGCGCGCGGCTGGAAGGGAGGCTCTGGCCGCGGCCACGCGCGCGGGGCTCCCAGCCCGCCCGCCCTACCCCGGGGCTCGGCGCGCCCATGGGAGGCCCGTGGAACGGCAGCGACGGCGCTGAGGACGCGCGGGAACCGCCGTGGGCCGCGCTGCCGCCGTGCGACGAGCGCCACTGCTCGCCCTTCCCCTTGGGCACGCTGGTGCCCGTGACAGCCGTGTGTTTGGGTCTGTTCGCCGTCGGGGTGAGCGGCAACGTGGTGACCGTGCTGCTGATTGGGCGCTACCGGGACATGCGGACCACCACCAACCTCTACCTGGGCAGCATGGCTGTATCCGACCTGCTCATCCTGCTCGGGCTCCCCTTCGACCTGTACCGCCTGTGGCGCTCACGACCCTGGGTGTTCGGGTCTCTGCTCTGCCGCCTGTCACTGTACATGGGTGAGGGCTGCACCTACGCGTCGCTGCTGCACATGACGGCGCTCAGCGTCGAGCGCTACCTGGCCATCTGCCGTCCGCTGCGCGCCCGTGTCCTGGTCACCCGCCGCCGCGTCCGCGCTCTCATCGCCGCGCTCTGGGTGGTGGCGCTGCTCTCCGCCGGCCCCTTCTTCTTTCTGGTGGGCGTCGAGCAGGACCCTGCGCTCTACGTGACTACGGACCGCAATGGCACGGCCCCGTCCTCGGCCGCCCCGCAGGCTCCTCCGACCGCGCCGTCGGGGCGGCCCGGCGCTGAGGAGGCCGCGGCTCTGTTCAGCCGCGAGTGCCGGCCGAGCCCCGCGCAGCTGGGCGCGCTGCGCATCATGCTATGGGTCACCACCGCCTACTTCTTCCTGCCCTTCCTGTGTCTCAGCGTGCTCTACGGGCTCATTGTGCGCCATCTGTGCCGGGGCCAGGGCCCACTGCGAGGCCGAGCCGCCGCGGGCCGGGAGAGGGGCCACCGGCAAACTGTCCGCGTCTTGTGTAAGTGGAACCCGGTCCTTGCCTACTTCTAGTCGCCTTCCCTTCAGGCTCCCTCTCCAACTCCACCCACCTGTTGTGTTTCCAGAGAAGTCCGGTTTCTGCCCATCCCCCAATACACCCAGGAGTTCTAGGGCCCTCCAGGGCATCTCAAATGGTGGCATATCCAGGTCCACCCGGGCTGGATGACTGCAGGATGTGAGTCCCAGTGCGGGACACTGACCATAGCTTTGAAAGAGAACAGCGGCTTAGCTTGCATTAGGCTCAAATACTATGTAATGTTCAGTTAGCCTGAGAGCTTCCGTGCGCCTGTCCATATCGCAAAGGTGAAGGACCTGGCAGAGTTCTTTCCCACTTCGCTCAGCCAGCACCGCCCTACGGTGGGTTCGTGGAAGGGAGCCTACCAAAAGCTTGGCGGGTGCAGAGGGAGGCTCCTTCTGATTTACGCCCAGCCTTGGTGTCGCATGAATGAGGCCGAGCTGCGGAGTGTGTTGAAGCAAATGTTGATGCCATCTGTAACTGGTCGTTTTCCTGGCACTGAAATCGGACTGGGTCAAAATGTGTGTCCGTTGCTCATTACCGCAATTGGTATCTTGTGGGAAAGGGGGCTGCTTAATTGATTTTGTGAGCCCTTGCTAATTGCAGCGCCCATGTCTTGTTTCACAGTGGTGGTGGTTCTGGCCTTCATAGTGTGCTGGCTGCCTTTCCACGTCGGCAGAATCATTTACATAAACACCCGAGACTCGCGGATGATGTACTTCTCTCAGTACTTCAACATCGTAGCTCTGCAGCTCTTCTACCTGAGCGCGTCCATCAACCCCATCCTCTACAATCTCATCTCCAAGAAGTACCGGGCAGCAGCCTGCCGACTGCTGCTTGCCAGGCGGTCCAGGCCCGGAGGTGTGTGTGGAAGCAGGGACCCTGCAGGGCACGTGGCGCCCGACTCCGGGGCTGACATGGCTGGTGGCTACACGGAGACCAGCGCTAACATGAAGACAGTGACATAACCAGCAGAGCCAGTGCCGCTCTCGGACTTCGGGGACATCAGGTCTGTAGGGAACTGGAGATTGAAGGAGAAAACGGGTGGGTGTAAGTAGAGTGGCAGGTGTTGGTTGAAATATTGTAAGTTGATTAAGAAATGAACAGCGTGATTTTCTTTCAAATCAAGATAGAAAATCTAACGGTACTACCCTTTCTGCTTTCCCTTTGTGTGTGCGTGTGCATTCTTGAGAGAGTTCACTTAAGCAGCAGGAAATCCCACATCACAGTTATTTATAAGGTCTGCCAGCAGTCAGAAGAGTAATAGTTATGACCCAGCAAATGACCAGATGCCCATAAATGGCAACAACAACAAAAAAAAGCTTTTAGGAGCAAATCCAAAGGAGAAAGTTCAAGGTTGTTCAAGGAATTCCAGTGAAGCCCCTAAGGTTCAGGGTTCCATCTCTTCCCAGGCTCAGAGCAAATCACACAGTTTAGGCACAAGATCGTGCTTGACAAGGACTGTGCACACACCGCTGTGCTGCAACACTTCGCCACACTACCACCCGGACACTGCCCCAGAGGCTTTCCCAGTGCCCTTGGCCATGCGTGAGGCAGCCAACCTAGGCACAGAAGCCCAAAGGTAACACTGACGCAGGACTTGGTCTTGCTGGGCTGGCCACGGGTGGCGGTTGCACAGAGCTTTGCTGTGCCTGGCGCTGGGCTGGGTGTCACACCCCTGTTTCACCGATGATGGGACTGAGTGTTGGATCTCCCAGGGCAGGAACTGGAGTACTGTTCCCAGCCCTGGAACGGGAGTTTTGATGCATCCCACCTATTCCCACACCAGGATGCTGCTCTCCCTGATAATACAGAGGTTATGAGTGAGAGGGAGTGGCTTGACCATTCTGATCGGTGTCTGTAACTGTTAGGGTTGAACAAAGAAGCGACTCTCCCAGGGCTGCCTGCCACGGTGGCCCACAGCTCCCCAAGAGCCACATTCGCGGGGTGCTTTGTTTGAATGGCGCCTCCTGGAGGGGGACCGGGCACAGTTTTGCTCAGTTGGGGGAGAAGGGGAAGGGCTTGGGGGGAAGTGGCCCTAATGGTTCAGATTCATAAAGTTCCAAATACATGACAGTAGCTTGTTGGGCTTGAGAAGTAATTAATCCCAAGATTGTTACAAATCTTCCAAGTTCAGAATACCAGAAAAGCAGATAATGCTGTAAAATATAACTTCAGCTGAATTGCAATGATGCAGAACTGTGACATCGTGGTCATGATGCCATGTGGGAGCGAAGAGCCACTCACTTCCCTCCTGACTCGATGGCCACCCTTGGGCAACCTCAGGGGGTTTCTGAGTTACTTTCTGTCCCAGGCCATGTAGGTCTCCCCTGGGTTGTTTCAACTTCAAATGGCAAATGCATGAACCATGAGGGTCTACCCAGCATGCTGGCAATATTCAGGCACCTTTTCCTGTTGCCAAATAAATACAGGTGGAAGATCCCAGGTCCTTGGCCCTGGCCACACTTGGGCAGGAGAGAGGCAGTCTCTTATCCACCTGTTCTGCCAGCTGAGAAAAGCGCTCAGAGCAGTCCACTGAGGGGATTGAGGAGCAGGTTTACAGGTTTTCTTGGTCAGATATGGTAGAAAACACCCTCTGCCCACATTCCCCTCCCAGGGACCCTCCAAGTGATGAGACAGTGTCACCTGTCAGAGGCTTGGGCACCTTCACTTTGTCACACAGCCAACCCCCATCCTCATTCCCCAGGAACTCCTCAGGCGTGAGAAGCACTGGAAGGAAGGGGACTCTAGGATTGAGGTGCTCACAGTGCTCGGGGAGGGTGCCTGCCTCCTCCAGCTAGGAGCACTGAATCAATCAGGATGACCTGGGGCTGCTCCCACAGCCTTTCTGTCCTGGGGTCCTCCAGACCAGCCAGAGGCAGCCTCTCTCCTTGGGAACCACATTAATAACCTTGTATCCGAGCTACAGAATACTCTGTTTCTCTTTCTGAGGCGGCCAGGATGACACCACAGGAACATGAGCAGGTTCCCAGGCATAGGAGTAAGCATCTCCACCACCCTGCAGGGTCGCTGTGAGATTAGCAGAACATTTTTCTTCATTGGAAAGAAGTGAACAAAAAATAGACGGATGGATTGGGGAATGCCTGTCTCACGGGTAGCAAGAGTAACTATGGTGTTGTGAAATGTTTGTTTCAGTTGCGTTGATTGGTGTCTTGCCTAGTCCACAGAATAAACAGTATTCTTTCTGTGGCCATGATAGAGAACATTTGAGCTGTTTCAAGATCAAAAGTTTTTCTGACCCCAGTGGTGAGTGACCAGTTCTTACACTGCCAAAGCTATGGAGAAGGGCAGGAGAGGTGCCAAGGAGGCCCAGGGTGGCCAAGGCAGGGCTTGCTCTAGAGGAACAGTTGTACTGTAGTTTTTAGTCTTGGCCTCTCCCTGCCTTCCTGGAGTGTATGGTGGAAACTGTGCCCTGGCCACTCCTTTGATCCCCACAAAGACCAGGCTGGCATTCCAGAAACTTCTTTCAGAGCACCTTTCCCTTCCATCAGTCTACTGGCTAAGCTGCCATCTTCGGGGAAGGGCTTGTTGTTGGGCTCACTCATGTGGTAAACATTTACTATGCAGCTGCTGGGAGCCAGGCACATGTGACAAATGACACCAGGAAAGCTAGTACATGCTGCGTTGTCAGAAACCTGTCAACCCTGTGCTGGCGCCTTTGGTTTGCAGTGTGTAACTGTGTCTTCTGCACTCACCTCAGATACAGCCCACAGGTGCACAGAGGCACTTGTGGCAGGTGGCAGTGGGGAATACCAGCTCTTCTTTTCCACGAGGGATGTGCTCGGGGTTCTATTGCACAGTGCTTGTTGGGATCCGAGAGCTGCCTGTGCTGCGCTCTCAAGCAGACACACAGGTGAAGCATTTCTGGTGTTTGAACAAGTTGGCAGAAGCCCTGCTCTAGTCCCTCTGAGTCATGTCATAACATTTGCTAAAGCCAAATGAAGCATTTTGTATGGAAGGCTCAGTACTCAGGTCCTGTGTGCCAGGGTTTTCCACTAAACACAGATGTTGCCCTCATGTCACTGGGAGCCCACTTGCTAATGATCACGAAGGCCAGCTGCAGTGGGGCCTTGGTCAGCTTGGAGCAGCCCTCTGAGCCAGCCAGGGCTGTCCTGAGGGCACAGGCACGCTCATGATCACAGCCTCCCTCCGTCCCTCCCTCTGTGCGATTGGCAGAGGTGATAGGCAGATACAGTTGGTGCCATCTTCTTAGGATAGCACACATTTATATGTATAGTAAATATTTGTTTTTATTTGAGAAGGCAGAATTACAACAGAAAGAGGAGAGACAAAAATCTTCCATCTGCTGTTTCACTTCCCAGATGATCACAATGGCTAGAGTTCAATCAATCCCAAGCCAGGAATCAGGAACTTTTTCTGGATCTCCCATGTGGGTGCAGGGATCCAAGCACTTGGGCCATTCTCTGCTGTTTTCCTAGCCATTAGCAGGGAACTGCATCAGAAGTGGAGCAGGCAGGACTCAAAGCAACACTCATAGGAGTTGACAGCAACACAACCAGAGGCTTCCCTTGCTATGCCACAAAGCTGGCTCCAGCAGAGTTTTTAAATAATAGCAGTCACCTATGTGGTGAGAACTGAACAAATATCCTGTGGACCAGGAGAGCTGAATGAGGGTGAGGCGATGTGTGAAGGCTTTAGGTGCTTACTGGACCTGCAAGGCAGGTGGCTGGCTCCACTAGCTGAGATGTTCTTCCACAGGGCTGAGGGCGTGTTACACTGTATTTCAGTTGCCCAGAAGACAATGTGCGCTGAACTCACCTGGGCTTGAGAGGGGCCAGGGGTCTTTACCCCAGTGCACAGACAGAGAAAGGGGCTGGTGAAGCCAATGACTGAGGCCTTTGTTCCAAACCACAAATAAAAGCACAAAACGGGAGCGACATGGCACACCTCAGGAGCTGGAGACGAATGCCACAGAGGAAGGTCAGGGGGAGAGGTATGGGCACGGGGTTGGGACTGATGTCATCCAGAGCCATGGCCTGTGAAGCCATACGTCATCTCAGCTTGACATGACCATGGCCATTTTGAATATAACTATGTCTTGCCCTTTAGGTAACCCTGACCTTCATCCCAAACCTTACAGGATAAGCAAACCATTAAGGTAATTTCCTGGACTTGTCTTGCCAGGCTGACCCTGGACTGTGCTTAACCTAATGCCTGGGATGTTAACGTGTCTTGAGAATGCCCATGTCCTTAGCTAGCCAGAGGCCACCTATTCTACAAAACTCTTTTCCTCCTGCCTCACAGCCACCTGTGACCACAGTTCCCCACCCATCACCAATAGCTGATGATCCAGGTAATCTTAGATTTGCCCTCTCGCTTTGGGCAGCTGCTGCTTTTGTGGGGTTTTATCTGAGACAATGCAGGAGCGCCAGGGCCTGGATGCTTCTCGAATGGCACAGAGATGCAGTCACCAGCACCAGCTTCAGCTGAGGCTGGGGCTTCCTCCCCGTGCTCCCGCCCATGATGTCCTCCCTCTTCATTCTTTCTCCCGTGTTCCCCCTGCATGCCCCAGGACTAGGCAGGCCCCTAGGAAAGGGCTACAATTTTACAACTTTCATCTGTAGCAGGTGTGCAGTATTAGCACATTCTAAACATTTCTGCCACTTGTGAAGATAGGGAATTTGAAATCTGTGGGTTTTTTCTTTTAATAAGATGTATTTGTTTATTTATTTGAAAGGCAGAGTACAGGAGAAGGGCAAGAAGAGAAAGTGAGAGAGGAGAGAACTTCCATCTTCCCATCTTTGGATTCCCTCCCTAAATGGCCACAATACAGGAAGAAACCAGGATCCAGGAACTCTATCTGGATCTCCATTGCAGGCGACAGGGGCTCAGTGCTTAAGCCACCTTCCATTACTTCTCCCAACTTCTCCTAACTGGAAATTCAGCAGCCAAGACTGGAGCCAGTGCTCATATGGGATGCCGGCCT